CCTTCTGGCTTTCCCATCAATATCATATATGCATTCCTCTTCTTCCCTATTCGTGCTACATGCCCTGCACACCTCATTCTCCTTGACTTGATCATTCTAGTCATACTTGGAGAACATTACAAGTTATGGTTTTACTTTAAAGTACTGATGTTTAACAAGATTTATGTAGGTTACCATGATATTCGTCACAGATGAATAGTAGCCAGTTCTGAGTTGTGACACCGTGTAGTTTTGTGGCTGGATACTGATATCGGAAGACCATAGCCTTAATAACTGGAAACCCCAAAACTTATATTAGATGATTCTGTTTACCGATTTCAGTCCAGCGCTAGTTTGCGCACAGCAAAACTGCACATGTAATATAGGAATAACAAGTTTGATCACGTGACACCAGTGATGATTTGCAGACTTCAGAGTAGCAGAGAACAGGAAATACCACTACGAACTGAAAATGACCACGATGATGACGACATTCAGTCAGTATACCTCGGGCTACAGACCGTATATTTTGACTTGACCTATGTGTGCGCATAAGAAGTCCAGCAAGAAGTAGCGTAGCACTGGTTGCAGATGTATTGCGGGAGGGAGGGTGAGTTATATTTTGTAACTAAGGCCCCGCTACAACCCATACACATCACAGAGCCCTTATCTCAGTCACTGGACTCAACCAAAAGCACTGCGCATTCTGTTGAGAGGAGACAGGTAAAAAAGACAGACTGTATGCACATTCTAAAGTGAAACCGTGCTGCTAGACAATGTGTGGGCGTACAGCTTTGTCTTATACACGTTCGCACGTTGAGCCAGAACAGACACTACAAAGGCGATGCAACCAGATTTGCGGGGAAACAGAAAAGAATGGTGCCTTTTCTGTACAAGAAAATTTCCTTATTCAAAACTACCTCGTAGAGAAGTCATACGTACATAGGTAACGGCTTCCTGAACCACTTCCTGTCATTCTATTAACCCTTGGTTTCGAAGTAAACCTTTCTGTACCCCACGCAGCTGGGAAGTTAAGCTGTTGACGTTTTTAGACCTTATCGACTTGTGCCTAACAGCGTACAAAAGATATTTCACGCAGGCGCCCTGGGGCTCACCTAATCTCCTAACCATGGATGCCTGGATGTTTCTATGGGGACTAAAGCGGCAGGGGGAGTGAAGTTGACCACGCATCTTCATCCATTACCGCGATTAACGCATGGAGCTATGCCTCCATTTCCCAATACGTCTTCATGTTATAGTGCCTAATAAAGAACGGGAATAACTTTACCTCCGGTCTAGAAAACCGAAATTAACGGCCGTGGGGGTTCGCTGCGCTAACCACACGACACCTTCTATCCGCTAAAGTCGGCACTAACTTCGCCGACAAGCGGCGGTCGCTCGGTCGGTATAGTTCACTTGCGGACTAAAGCCACGGAATTTGTTTTAATAACTTTACCATTTGCCCCCATTAATCAGACTTCAAGTATCCTTTGTGGACGGCAATCACGCTCGATTCAGAACTGCTGACATAGAAGTGGAGACTGGTAACTCTGCCGAGATTCAAACGGAGCACCTCACAAACATAAATGTCTATTGCTAACCGTTACACCATCCTGCGTGGATGGTATATCATGTTTAGACACTGTGCATATAAGTTTTCCCAAATTTGTCTGCGCAAAAACTGAGTTTATATAAAACTTAAATCTTCGTTGCCTCCACTTTGGATACAGTGAATTTTCTCTCTCACGATCAACCATGTCAATATGGAACGAATTTCAACGCATCTGTAACTGCCTCTATCTCTAGGGACGGCCCGAAGACCAAGTTACGTGATATATCTATCATAGCTAACTTTTCCACTGCAGGCAATGCTAATCGTATCTTATGGCCTTGAAGATAATAAACAGCATAAACTATGGTTGAAGGCCGGATGAACTGTTTTTTTAATGGAAAAGGCCAAAAGCCAATCGTTCACACTCAAATGACATTTTACATGAAGTTACCGGCAAGAACATATACTTACTACAGTACAGGCATGAAAAGACAAATGAAATCCATATAACTGTGAAACATGAACACTTCAGAAAAGTTCTCATCATATCGATGGAAACCAAGAAGGTAAGAAAAAAAAAGGCAAAGCCATCCCTGTAACAGGCTATGGAGGCACATAGGGTTGTGAGACGTTGAGGGTCCCACATTATCCAGACAACTGGCTCACAGATGGCGGTAAGTTTGTCAGCCTTACGCGCGAAACCAAGAAGGGAGCAAGAAATAATTACAATGGTTTAGATTGTGGTTGTGACTACATGGCGTCATAACCCACGAGACCACCTCTACCGCCATAAAGACCTAAAATCTCATCTCTAACGCTCAGACACGTTTCCGTTCCGCGACAGATGGAACGAGTTCGCAGGAACGCCGATAGAGGCGCCACTTGGCTGCATTACGACAGCTACGTAGAGGGGATACACGCGAAGCAAATAACTACAGAGAACATACAAGAAAACCGCATCAAAGCGCAGATTAAATCGCCACCTGAAAATGGTCCATACTGTTTATGTATACCCGGCCAGATTTACCATTTGTTCTCACCGCTATATCCAAAAGAGGAAAATAAGCCAAGATATGGGTGACTTTACATTTTCAATTCTGCTGAAACACAAACAAAACTCTGAAAAGCAATCAATCCAAGGATATATGGCAGAAATATGCAACGATTGGATGATATGCTGTGACAAGTTAACCCAATCGCTGAGTAATATAAATGAATACACGAAACGAAAAAAAAATTATGAGACTAAATAAACAAAACACATTGATATTTAGCCAATAACCTTTAATATCTGCTACAACAGCGTATATTACATCAGGTACAGCAACTTTAGTTATAATTAGTTTATGGTTTATGTAACAGCGGTATCAAAAGTTTAGACTCTGCAGCACAGAACAGTAATGGCAAGTGCATATGAGCCGGAAATTATTCGAAAGAAATGATCGTGGACTAATACGAGGTACTATCACGGTATATACTTGGATGGACTGAGGAAAATCATGAAAAATTCTTCCTGAAAGATTCTTCAAGATTCAAACGGGTCATGTCCCGAACACAAATCCGAAGGAATACCGCTTGAACGAACTGTCTGGGTTATCTCATGCTGTGAAATCGCGGGTAATCTTGTCTTGTCTGGGCAAACAGGCTGCACGTCCATATCACACATACTCGTACATCCTGACGTGGGTTCCACCGTAAAGATTAGCGTTTTTCTTTCTTACTGGAAAGCGATAACAATGATTAATGACTTCTTGCTATGTTATCGTCTGACGAGTCGACAGTCAACTGTCCGTGTTTTCAGAACTAGCCGTTCTCAGCAGAATGCATGATAAATTTGGCCAACAGAGCGTTAGTTACAGAGCGTCACCCTCCCTACTACCCACAATGCAGCTACAACCACTGTCCCGTTCATTCTTGCCGTACTGCTCATTTCTCCTTATACGCAACCCAGAAGCCAGGTCTAAAACTAATGTCTGTACTCAACTGCAGTCACAATACACAATCCCGGATCTTATCCTGTGTCAATTTACACCACGTCATTTCCCCTTACTTACTTACTTACTTACTTACTTTAGCCGCGCCATAGCTCAAACGGTTAGTCGCTGGATTCCCATCTCGACGGCCCGGATTCGATCCCGGGTCTGGTCAAGTGGGATTTGTGGTGAACAAAGTGGCGCTGGGGCAGGTTTTCTCCGAGTACTTCGGTTTCCCCTGCCAATCTTCATTCCACCAATTGCTCCACAATCACCCTCACCTATCATCTGGGGCTGGTACTATAGGCCAGAAGTGGCCGCAGTACAAGGGACTTAGTCCCACCCCACTAACAATAATAAAAAAATAATACTTACTTAGTTATGGAGCTGAACCCTTCTTGAGAAGCCAAATTTACAGCTACTCAATTTCCCAGCATTTTGTGGAACCTGAAGGTTCATTACCGTGTTCACAAGAGCCCTCCACTGGTCCCTATCCTGAACCAGATCAATCCAAATCATACGATCCCATTCTATCGCTCTAACATCATTTTGCAGTTTTCTCCAACCTCCTGTCACTTCATCTCTCTTCGGTCCAAATATTCTCCTCAGCACCCTGTTTCACACCCACACAGAACTACAGGCAAATTTATAGTTTTGTACACAATTATATAAAATATCGCCGTGTACAGTAGTCCTATGTTCAAATCCCGACCGTGAGATCGGTTATCCTAACTGCGATCTTTCGTGATATTCTTCAGTACCTCCAGACAACGTTGGAATGGTGTTCCAAAGTAAATTACGACCTCCACAGTACATGCAGACTTCCAAACTCAACTTTTACAATAATTCTGTCCACACTGTTGAAAGAAATAATCTCTTCTCACCCTGTAACCTGCCCGGCGCTGGGTCAGAGCTGAAGCCCCAGACTTAGAGACCGAGGCTGTGATAATGTGCTGCGTGACAGGACTATCGCACACCTCAAAGAGGAGTAAGGTGTAAGAATGTTCTTGAGGTTAGGCACTTTCCAGCCTTGTTCAGAGTTTCAGCCATCTCAGCATTCTGTTGCCGCTGACAGACCATCAACAGTTAGAGGATGGGTGTTCAGGAAGACGGTGAAAAGAGATGAAGGAGCAGGAAGAGACAATGAGATAAGGAACTAAATTGTATAGCTGAATGGTGAAATGAAGGACTAGACGTGCAGACGTGTATATGCATGGAGAAATGGGCACTAAATTGTAATTAGAAAACCCGAAGGTAAAAGACCAATTGGGAGAGCTGGGCGTTAATGGAAGAATGTTAAATTGATGTTAAACAAACAGGGTGTGGAGTGGACTTAACTGACTCAAGATACTGATTAGTGTCTGGTTCCTGTGAACACAGTAATAATAATTCTGGATATAATAAAAACTGCGGAGGGCTTTCTTGGCCAGCTCCATGCGATGACATTAATGCCACAACCGGTATTCATAGCACCAAAATCAGGTAGACGTACTTACCGATGATGTAACGGCAGTGAGTCAACCCATTCCTGAACGGTTACCGGCGATTTGCGAGCAGGTGACTGGGAACAGGTACTTGCTATATGGAGTTGAAGTTTCGGGGGTCGTTGGGGTCCCTGTGAATCTGATGACGACAATCCGGAGGAAGTTGGGTGCTCAGTGGATGGCGGTTGGTCCAGCACAATACTAGGGACTGACATTGTGGAACAGTCTAGTTCATCAGCATCAGACCCTACGACACGGGTTTCCATGTCGGGTTTCGCCACAACCACTGAACATTCCCGTACCACAGACATACCCTTCATCCCTTCATCACACACACTGTCTTGTGGTTCATGTGAACATTTCGTCTTCGCACTCAGTGACATAGTAGAACCGACACTTGCAGCAAGCGGCAGAGCCGCACCTGATTGCTTCTCACCTGCTAAAGTCTTCACCACACATTCACCCAACTTTCCGTTAATGAGTGTCGCTAACTTGTCGCCCGAAGTGTCGGTACCAGAAAGTCCTTGATACAAAGCGAATTCCTTCGATACTACAGCAGAATCGTTCGTGCCGTCGCGAACATCCGTCGCCCGCCCTTTGGCAGTGCAGGCGTCATTGTCGGTAAGTCTCCATTGCGTCATCTCGCCTTGTTGCCAGCATTCCCGGCTTTCGTCGTCGTCAGAAGCCGTAGTCAAAATGTAAAACTCTTTATTGAACTCGTGTTGCTGTTTCGGCGTGTTACATATGACTTCATCACATTCTGTAGCGGACTTACTTGGAATGTAGGATGTTGGTTCCTCAGGATTATGTTCTAATGGAATGTGTAGACGTTCTGCAGCGGGAATTAAGGTTTTGGAATGTGTACAATTTTCTTTATCGTATAACTGATCTGGGTGTGGATTGTAAGGAGAATCACTGCTGCGTTCCTTTTGGAGATCTTCCGAACGGTCACTAACAATCAGTTCTTCGGGGAAAGTGTTTTGGTGTACTTCATTAAGCCCGTTAGTGTTTATCCGCGGTTTCGTGAATGTATCTTCAGAAACAGTAGCTACAGGCGACTCACCGACGGTTTCCAGATAATTCCTTCCATCATCAACATTCACGTTCCTCGTATCTTTGCTCTCAGAATCCCAGTCGTCGTGTCCTCGTTCAGAAGTGACGCTGAAGAACTTCTTGAGACGTCGGAGGGGACCAGGCGAGTACTGATTCCAGCGGCTGGCCAGAGACCGTCCCAATTGCAAGGAACGTCGCTCTGATGGCAATGAAGATGATGATGATGATGACGCGTCCTCCTCTTTAACACGGTCGCCCCACTGCGGCGATGAGGACGCCCCCTGTTGCGCCCGTAACGAGCGCACCAGTACTTTCACGCGTGTCTGGAACCACGCAGAATGTCCAGTGTCTCCTGCAACAATTGTAAGAACATAAACCAATATTTACGTCTCGATGTCAAACACTACTATGTACTTAACACACTATACTGTGCGTACGTCATATGCACATGCGCAAAAGCGCTCGCCGGATGAAACGAAGGATAAGAGAAGTTTACTGGTATTGTTCTGTCGTATCTATCAGTAGTGACAACATTTGGATTTGATCATGCTGTAAGCCAGTAGCTGTAATTGTAACGACGCTGTTATTGAAACGGAAAGGGACTTTACGAGCACAAACAAGTACATCAGTATGTAAGATTTGAGTTTTTCACGGCCGTGACTATGAAGAATGACGTCTTCTGGGATGTGGCGCCGTGCAGCCACCTGCTCACGCTGGGTCCTCGCTCGCGGATTTTTATACCCTGAAGATGGAGGCGATACGTTCCTCCGAAACGTCGGGTACATAATATCTACACGGCGCCACATCCCAGAAGACGGCATTCTTCAAGTAAGTCAGTATTTGCTATGCTGGATTCGAAATTCTCACAGCACTGACTATGAACAGTGTGATCATCTTGGCTGTGAGGCCGTGCAGTTTGGTAGAAGTCCTTCATCAGTTCGAGAGAACATACTTCCTCCATCTTCAGGGTCGCCGCGTGCTTGCTGCTAGTTTCTTATTTATTTCTGGACCCTAAGATAGAAATATTCATCCCTCCGAAACGTCAGTGCAAGTTTACCGAATCACACGGCGTGACAACCCAGACTATAACACTTTTCACTTCTACACTAGTTTAATTTACTTTCAGTAACGGAGAACTTTGCTTTTCACGAAAGGCACCTGTTGTTGTGTTGTGAAACTTGAGTCTATTGTCCTAGAGGAAGAACAGGTTGAGTGTGCTTTGAGAACAGGGCACTGAGCAGAACAGTAGAACGTAACGAGGGAAGAAACACTGCCAGACTAGAGAAAGCACAATGAGGAGCTTTATAATTTGTAATCTCCTCCAAGTACTTCTAATCTGATTAAACCAAGAATGATAAGGGGGCGGGGAATGTAACACTACTGTACTAGAAATGCGAAACGAATACGAAGTTGTGGTCCGAAATCCTTAAGATCAAATACTAGGTAGATCTAGGGGCATATGAGGATAATATTAAACTGGATCTTAGAGAAAATATGTTCAAGGATGTCAACTGCATTCAACTTGCCTAGCAGAGGGTCCCACAACGGGCTTTTGTGAACACGGTAATGAACCTTCGCGGTGCATAAAAACTGTCAATATCTTGACACTTTAACTTTGTACGAAGCAGTCTACATCATGTAGTCAGTACATTCGGTAGCACTTCTGACTTGTATTCTGAAGCTGGCCGGTTCAAATATCGGCGGGGACACAAACTAACCTGACTTGTTCATGAATTTTCCTTAGTCCCTCCAGGTGAATTTCAGCACAGTACCTTGAAATAGGTTACGGCCACTTCTTTCCATACCCTTTCCAAATTATCATTCACTAATCGCCCACTACTCTAGGGTATGTAGTCTGAGCTACCGACTAAAACTCATCTCCGTGGCTTTAGTCCGCAAGCGAACCATACCGACCGAGCGACCGCCGCCTGCCGGCGAAGTCAGTGCCAACTTTAGCGGATCGATGGTGTCGCGAGGTCAGCGCAACGAATCCCCACGGCTGTTAATTTCGGTGTTTTAGACCGGAGCCGCTATTTCCTTGAAATAGCTCAATTATCCTCACGGGGCTGCGTGGACCCCGTTCGAGACCCACTACTTCTCAGAAACCGACAGCTTCGGCAAATAAATAAATACTGTGGCGTAAAACTAATCTCGTATAAATCTGAAAGCAATCTCACGGAGAAACCTTTGACGTTTCGCAACTGAACTTCATATGAATGCCATGCCACCCAGACATGCCAGAGTGCGCACGGGCTCACCCTCCATGATCTGACCAACCTAATAACATCTGGTGAAGAGTACATGGGCATGCCCGTATCTCAGTCCTCCCATCCCCCCACCCCCATGACAACGTGGTCATTTAAAACAACATTTTAGATCTTACTGAAAACAAAAAGCTGTACGTCTCCACCACAGGGTAGGACTTGTACATCAACTGTAACTGTCGCTGTTATAGACTGCACTCTTCGCCAAGTATAATTAGAATGATCAAATCAAGGAGGATGAGACGGTCAGGGCATGTAGCACGAATGTTGAGAAAATGAATGCCAGAAGGAAAGAGATCCCTGTGAGAACCAAAACGTAGGTGGGTGGACAATATTAAAATGGATCCTAAAGAGCTAGGGTGGGATGGTGTGGATTGGATTGATCTGGCTCATGATAGGGGCAAGTGGAGGGCTCTTGTGAACACGGTGATGAACCTTTGGGTTCCATAAAATGCTGGGAATTTCTTGAGTAGCTGCGCAATTTGCGGTTTCGCACGAAGGGCTCAGCTTCATAAAGTTAGTTTAGTTATATGCAGGGTGAAACACACAACAATATAACTTGAAATAACTCATTTATTATCCAACTGAGTTCGGAAATGCTTCAGACATAATTTGCATTATTTCAAAGGGAACATCAAACAGATTACTTTCATCTTTGGTTTTGAACACGATATCGAGGCCAGTTTAACATTTTTTAAAACAGAACTTCAACATTTCATTCCCACAGAAGATGTACAGCAGATCAATACGAATTCAAGGACCATAAACTAACCATCATTTCGCAGAACTGTTCGTTGTGACATCGCCACTCAAGGCGCAAGAGCGAACCGCTACGTCCGCTGCTTCGCCGGATTGGGGGAGCTAAAACGCGCGGCACAGCTCACAGCTGTATGAGTGACAGTCGGTAAACAGGTCACAAATGGATAGAAGACGTAAAACATGTGATATTCGAGCGTGGGAACGAAAACACCTATTTCTCGACATATCCACCAACACTGATACACCTACCCCATCACTTTGCCAGTGCCTCGAAGTCTTTTGACTGTTGTCTCAGCCAATTCGGCACTAGATCGGCAATCATCCGCGACTTTCGAACACCCCTGAGAGAATTTCTCGCCCCAGTTGTGAACCACATTACGCGACAAACACTTCCCACCATAAACAGGAAACATTTCTTTATGAATTTCATTTTCACTGAGCACTTTTGCCCGTACAAAACGCACAACAGAACACTGCTCTTCGGTAGTATATTCCTCAAGCACTGTCACCATTCTGACTACTGAAACCAGCCTCTCAACATGCGCATGCGCGTCTGCTACCTAGACTGTCATGAAGCTGGGCTGCACTGCTACATAATGATACACAGAAAACTTACTGCGTCCATTACAGCTGTTTCAGGTCCATTTGTGACCTGTTTACCGACTCTCCCTTGTACTTCGAGCGTCCATATCACGTGAACGATTCGTTGTAGTGGAACTCGGGTTACGGTCGCTGGATTCGTACTGATCTGTTGTATAATTTCTGTAGGAGCGTAATAATCAACTTCTCACACAAAATGCAAGACACAAACTATCTGCTTCATGCATCACAAGCCCCCCTTCAAACCATGCAAATTTTGTCTGAAGCTTTGCCAATGGATAATAAAAGAGTTATTCCAGGTGATAACGTCAAGTGGTTATAATTAGGGTAGTGTTCTTCAGTTTGTCCTGACGCCGTTTCCATGGACACCAAATGCAAAAATCAATCTCATTTAGTAAACAGGCCATAAATAAACGGCACTGTTTCAGCCGGTATTACAGAACGGTACCTACATACTGGTATTATTATATTTATTTTATCGAACTGTCTTTCGAGAAATTTCCAAGTTCGTGGCACGCATATTCAGCGGAGGAGCGTTTCTGCCCCCCCCCCTCAAGGGCTATAATGTGTAGAACAGGGCCAGGAGAAGAGCCATATTTTGAAACTGTATCCAGAGTTGGAAATTATAAAATTTTCGCGTTTAAATTTCAAAGTCAAATGCACTAATAGTTCTAGCTTCTGTGAAAAAATGCCGTGCAGTCCGTTGAAAGTGAACCGACGTTTCGGAGGAACAAGTCTCCGTCTCCAGGGTCGAAGGGTTGCTCTGCTTGCTACCTGCTTCAGGCTGGTCTCTTGCTTGGCTTTTTCTTTGGCCCTGAAGATGGAGGTGACATGTTTCTCCGAAACTTCTGTTGATTTTCAACGGAGTACAAGGCGTTATATGCCAGAAAAATGAACGCTTCATAATCACCGCTGTGAGAACCCATTAAACCGACATTTCACTGGCCAGGGAACGACAATTTATAGTACTGAGGGTCAAAACGTACTCTTGCATAGGACATTAGATTTTTGCGGTTTTGTAACTGAGGCGGTATGACACGAAAGTGCGCAGTGAACATGATCACTATTCTACAGTTATTGGCCAATCAGCGTCCACCAAATTGACCGCTGATCTCTGCCCTGACCTTTAATAAATAATCCTGATTGAGCCGTCGACCAGTAATAGAGCTTTCCTAATAATGAGGTCAAGAATCCTTGCAGCAGTATGGAATTTTCCTTATAGAACTGGACTGAACTAATCAGGACTTTTACGCAAGGAATATACAATCTCGGTTTAAATGTTTTGCGTAATGTAATTTATTCAGGTGCAGGACGATAAAAATCTCTCTTTATACGAGGGGCAGCCAGTAAATAGGTCACAAATGGATATAAAACTAAAACATGTCATATTCGAAACTGGAAAAAACATTTATTTCTCGACAAATACTCCACCAACATTACGCGACAAACATTTCCCACCGTAAACAGGAAATATTTCTCTATGAACATCCTTTGCATTCATTCCTTTTGCCCGCAAAAAAAGCACAACAGAACCCTACTCTTCGGTAGTATACCCCTCAAGCACGGTCGCCATTTTAACCACTGAAACCAGCCTCTGAACATGCGCGTCTGCTACCAAGATTGTCATGAAGCTGGACTCTGCTGCTACCTTTTACGTCCATTTGTGACCCATTTACTGACTCTCCTTCGTAAAAGGTAAGGTAAAGTTGTCCCTGTGCTTAACTAATTAAGCACTACGCCATAAAGGCGTATGGGGGAGTGGATGTATAGATCCACATTTTCTTGACCTCGGCATTAGCTGGTGGCGAGTGGTCAGTTTCACGCCCCTGCTGCTTTAATCCTGGGGAAAGAACCCCCGGTACCCACCGGATAGGAGATTGGGTGGACCCCAGAGCCGGTCTGGACGAGTTGTATAAGAGAAAATTCTTGACCCTACCGGGACTCGAACTCCGACCCCTCTGTCGTCCAGCCCGTAGCCACTGAGCTGCTCCCAGCCTCGCTTTACAATGTACGCTTAACGCACTGCGTGTCTCTAGAGGGCCTCTTGGCGATTGGTGAGCTAAACTAAAAGGGACCGAAAGCAAGTAACGGTCTCTTAAGCCATTTCGTCGTAAATTCGGTAATTAGTCCCGGAACTGAGGGTTTACGTTAATCCTCAGAGGCTCAACACCTCTACTACAAAAACCTATCACTGGACACGATCCCATCAATTCAGATAAGATTTATATTAATGCTATCCCCATATCGACCTCTAGGACTCCCAGGTCTCTTTTTTTCCCCTTGGCACTACAGCCCCAGTGGGCCTAGGCCTACCTCCATGAACTTCTCCGTTCACTTCAGTTTTTCTAGATCTTACACATTCGGTAGGACTCCTTGGGCGGGTGATCAGCTCGTCGCAAGGCCTCTACCTGTACACAAACACAGAAAAACGCATATACACAAACTACACAGCCATGCCCTGAGTGGGGTTCGAACCCACGACCCCGGTTTCCAAGCGAGCGAAGACAGTACATGCCTTAGACCGCTCGGCTACCGTGACCGGCGGACTCCCATGTCTACGATCCTAAAATGTTGTTATTTCATGAAGCTTCGAAAAAATATCCAAATTTCATTGCTGTTTTTCTGTGTGGCTTAAACAGTACCACGAGTCCCATATGAAGCGAATACTTACTTTCTCATTCAGTTGCAATACGCAATAAACCAAACAGTATTTGCGAGTCTGTGATGCGGTATGGTGATTGATCCATAAACATAATTTACATGTTAAATTTGACATTTTCTTTATGATGTACTCAAAATTACAATTATAACGTTGGTCTGAATCTTGAGAGTTCATATCCATCGAAAACCAACTCCAGCGAACAGACTGGTATACACAAGTAACGCTCTAGTACTCGAAAGGTGCTCGGTTCACATCTCAGCTGGGACACTGACTATCCTTAATGCTCGTGATTTTCCTCAGTATCTCCAGACAAATTCCGGTCTAGAAAACCGAAATCAATGGCCGTGTTAATCCGTTGCGCTGACCACGTGACACCCTCTACCTGCAAAAGTTGGCACTAACTTCGCCGACAAGCGGCGGTCGCTCGGTCGGTATAGTTCGCTTGCGGACTATAGGCCACGGATATATTCCTCACTGGGCTTCCTATACGTACCACTTAAACAACAAAAGGCATTGATTCTTTCCATAATTTCGTGTAGCAGAAAGGTACTGCAGAATAGCATGTCACAAGTCCGGAATACTTTGCGAGTATAACTTGTAAACTGCACTACAAAGGAGAACTTGACTGCGATATACAGACTAAAGGCAGTCCTGAAGGAACACGAACTAGGGAGGAAGGTGATCGGGGAGGTCACGTCGCCTGGAGAAATTCATGGCTCAAATACTCGTGCAATACGCAAATCATCAAATCCGATTATAAATAAGGAAACATCAACATTTAAACGTATGTACAGATAAACACACAGAGCAGAGTCGCTCACACTGCAGTATAGCTGTCTAACACATACTTAATATTATATTATCTTTAATAATAATAATAATAATAATAATAATAGTACACAATTTCAACTTTGCACAGGGATTTCCGTTACATCACTATTAAAAGGAGGGGCACGCGGTAGCGTGCACTATGGTACAAGTCGGAAGGTCGCGGGTTCGAGACCCGATGGAGATTTTTTCAATTGACCTAATCCTTCCAGGAGTACTATGGCCCTGGGGTCTTCCTCAGCCTCTAACAGAAATGAGTACCAGGAATCTTCCTGGGGGTAAAGGGCGGCCGGCGCGTAAGGCTGACTTAAAAACAGGCCAAACATTTCACATACGAAGATTTGATTCTAAAGCCTTGTAGTTCGGAGACAGCCAATCGTTTCGTAGGAACATATCGTCTCCATCGTCAGAGTCAAAAAGTACGAATGCCTCAAGATGAGCATGGAGCGTATTTTTTTTTGGGGGGGGGTTATTAAATTACTCTGTCAGAAACTCGGACTACACAGGAACGAATCGATCAATTCTAGAGGGTTTGCTCCGTTCTGTTTATCTCAAAACCCGTAAGACATGTCGTACAAGTGTCCTGAATATGGAAACGTGTTTCAGGTTTTTCGACAACTCTTGCCCAAAACTTTTTTTTTTCTTACTCTAAGGAATATTCAGCGAGTTACGCGGGAACCAAGGTCCAAAAATCGTGTGAAGGTCTTCATATAAAATTTCTGTTGCCCAATTTTAACCAAAATTGGAACTGGGAAACAAATGTTACACTCCCAAAAATCAAATTTCATTCAAGTCCGTTTAGTGTGTCGCGAGTACGTTTTATGCGTACAGAGGGGCTGAGCCATTTTTGATAAGCATCCCCCGCAGAGGTGCGTTCAAAAAGAACGACTATTACAATAGCGTATTCCAAACAGCAGTGGAAATGAACAAACGGAAGGAAAACTACTCGTAAAAGCACGCAGACGCAATAGGAACCCGAAGTCCTGAGTTCACTGACTTGGTGCACCTCTGTCGTTCAGTTGTCAAATGACCAGCAGACACGAGGCAACGGGGCAACATCAAGACTGTAAAACAGGTATGAATATAACTCGTAGATATCTACAGCAAGTAATAAAAAACTGAAATATTATATTTAAAGATGGAGTACCTACATATTTTCAGATGTACACAGTATATATATATATATATATATATGATATGAATATGAAGAATATTCTAAAGCAATTTTAAAGCGTTCATGATAATCGTATGGGGATACAGGAGACAGTAAAATACAACACTACATATAACGGTCTACAATAAAACATGTTTAACATATTAAACACGAATAATTTATTAGAAATTAAATGTAATAAATTGGCTACTGGGTAATGCATCCGACTGTATCCGGCATGTGGTCGATCTCATCTGGGACATTGGATATTCTTGAGGGCTTTCGTAATTTTCCTCAGTCACTCCAGGCAAATACTGGGAAGCTACCTCAAATAGATCACTACTGGCTAATCACCCTGTCATTCGACCCCTTACACTAAAAGGTAAGGTAAAGCTGTCCCTGTGCTTAACTAATTAAGCACGACGCCACGAAGGCGAATGGTGTAGTGAATGTATAGATCCACATTTTCTTGACCTCGGCACTAGCTGGAGGTGTTTGTCAGCTTCACGCCCCAGCCGCTTTACCCCAGGGAAAGAGCCCCCTGTACCCATTGTATATGAGGTTGGGTGAACCCCAGAGCCTGTCTGGGCGATTGGAGAAGTGATAATTGTTGACCTTACCAGGACTCGAACCCCGACTCCTCGGTCGTCCAGCCCATAGCCAGTCGCTATACCGGCCTATGAGTTACAAAGGTGCTGTATGTAAAGGTAAGGTCCCTGCGCTTAACTAATTAGGCACTACGCCATGAAGACGTATGGGGGAGTGGATGTTTAGATCCACATAATGGCGCTACATGAAGCCATAAATACGTTGTATCTGAGGTTCTGACTGCGGTCTTCTGAGATGTAGTTCGGAGAGAGATTCCGGTGTTTCAGAGCAATATATCGCCTCCATCTCCAGGGTCCAAGACTAAGCCAAGCAAGAAACGAGGAGAATCGGGTGGCAAGCTGAGATTCTTGCTTGGCTTACTCTTCGACCCTGAAGACGGAGGCGATATGTTGCTCCGAAAGGTGGGGCTTTCATAGAAATACACGGCGTCACAGCCTAGAAAGCCGCACTGTTAATAAACGTAATTTGATGGACGACATATAACAGGGTTGGTTGATTCTAAAGGCCTTTATGTAAGTGAACATTTCATCTGTACGGTTTTACTGTTTTCATGCTGTATGAAAACCCCGATGGGTGCGAAACAGGCCAAATACGTCAGGTTAGAAAGTCTGACATAATATTTTGTTGTAACGTAGTAGTAAGAAAAGGGTGAAGCTATCCCTGTAACAGGCCGTGGAGGCCCATACGGTTGTGAGACGTCGAGGTTCCCACATTTTCTAGACAATCGGCTCACAGATGGCGGTAAGGTTGTCAGCCTTACGAGCTGGCCGCCGAGTCGACCCCAGGGACATAGTGCGGCTGGAAGGGTTAGGTCAATTGAAAAAATCCACCTCATCGGGAATCGAACCCGCGATCTTCCTGCTTGTAGTACAGTGCCTCAACCAACTCCGCTACAGCGTTCCCCCATGTTATAGCAGTACATAACTGAATAATACTATACCCAGGGATGTGATACCTAATAATCTCTCAAATGTTTACCGACGTTTCGGATGAACTATCTGTTCCTGAGTATGAAAGCAACCAACCAGCAACCATTTCTTCTTGCTACTTGCTATCCGGTTGATTAGTCTCCTCTTTAACCCTGAAGATGGAGTCCGTGCGTTCCTCTGAAACGTCGGTAAACTACCAGATTGCATGGTATCACATCCCACGGATGTACTGCTCGGCCACTGCAATAAGAACCTCAAATGCGACGTCAATCGTGATACAGCAGTACCGGAAACACTGAAGATACAACGGCGTGTAATCTCATAAGAAAAGTTCTTCGTAGTGACCACTCTGGAAGCCTCAAACCCAACAACATTATTAAGAGCAATACGTCGGTAGCGTAGCTGCCTGGGGCACTATGCTACAAGCCGGAAGGTCGCGGGTTAGATTCCCGATGAGGTAATTATATTTTTCAATTGACCTAACCTTCAGCCTCTAACAGAAATGAGTACCAGGAATCTTCCTGAGGGGTAAGGCGCGGCCGGCGCGTAAGGCTGACAACCTCACCGCCATCTGTGAGCCGATTGTCTACAAAATGTGGGAGCCTCGACGTCTCACAACCCTATGGGCCTTCACGGCCTGTTACAGGAATAGCTTTACTTTTTGGCAGACTAAAAATTATTTCTGGAAATGCCCTAAAACTGGATGCCTCTTGAAATGAACTGACTGCAAAACTGGAGCAGCTCACGTGTCGTTCTATGAGGCTCAATTTATTTCCGTATTTTAATACGTTAAAGAAATGTACTTGCAGGGTCGGCCCAACCCAAATGCCACTCCAGCAGATATGAAATTTCACACTCCCCCCTTCCCCAGTTAAAATAAATAAATTTTCACAGAACTTATAGATAAAATGACACTGGAGCGAGTTTTCTCCGACTACTTCGGTTTCCCCTGTCAATTCTCGTTTCATCGTGTGTTCCACGTTCATCATTCGCCCCACCATCGACGCTATATGGTCTCGATACTGACAGCGTCATTAAATAACCAACCTAAAAAGAGTTGACAAACTTCGTCACAGTGACATGAAAATTCCAAACGACACGAAGAAAATCATGACTGGTGTCGTAATTCGTAGAATTGCTTTACTTGCACTGTTGCGTAACACGTTTAGATTGCTGCCACTTGCCGCGATGTAAACAAAAGACTAGCAGAATTTCATTCTTATTAAAAAAAACGCAGAGTGAGTGTGTAAAACGTGGCGCACCACGGTTCCGCTTGCTTCGCCTGTCCTGTTGAGCGCGTCTTTCTGAAACTGGTTTCTGCTGTACACTTGTTAGGACTTCAATATGCAATGCTAACCACAGGGAAGGTCATTTCTTGCAAATGTATATTGCCTTCTGTAAGGTTCTTGACTGAATTCTGTCCATGGTGCGTATTACCAAGGGCACTGGCTTCACAGCGTAGTCGGTATAGCGATTGGCTACTGGCTGGACGACTGAGGGGTTCGAGTCCTGGTAGGGTCAAGAATTTTCTCCAAGTAGTCCAGACTGGCTCTGGGATTCACCTCCTATCCAATGGGTAACGGGGCTCTTTCCCCGGTGGTAAAGCGGCCAGGGTGTGAAACTGACCACTCACCTCTAGTGCCGAGGTCAAGAAAATTTGGGTCTATACCTCAACTCCCCCATACGCCTTCATGGCGTAGTGCGTAAGTGGTTAAGCACAGGGACAACTTCATAATTTAATGCTTGTAAATCACCACAACAAAATTATTTATTCTTGTAGGAGACGCGCTTAGGTTCATAACATACGCCACGGACATGAACGCAACTACGGATCTTAGATAAGGCAATGCACTTACAACTGTTAGCAAATACATTTGCAGAACACGTGAAGGAAAAGCATTACTATGCGTGTCTAGAACATTCTTGAGGATACGTCATCATCAGCTGATGTACATCAATACACAATTAGAAGGTTACCAGATCCTGTTTTCAATATTCGATGTGCCCCAAAATCACCGTACTGGACATCTCGTTTTAATACACACAGACTCCCCCGCCCCAAAAGGATGCGTACTCAAATTATGACATACTCTCAAATATGTTTTAGACAAACAACACGGGGTGGGCATACAGCTCATATTTACAGATCTCTATCCACAACCTCAGGATGTGGGCGGGTAATGCGTTTAGGGTAGACGCAGGCAAATGTGTAACAAACTGAAAGCAAAGCTGAAAATCGGAAAAAGAAAAAATTGCGTTAGTGTTCCCCATTCGTCATTAGTGGTAGGGATAAAGCTGTAAGAAGACAAAGAGAGTGAGAAAATGGTGCTAAGCATAGGCAGAGAGGCAGAGGCAATTACAGGCAGAGTTTGTGATCACTCCATGAAGGGGAAGTGCAGTAATCATATTGCTTTTACCTGTATCCATTATTTCCCCCGTGCAATTTTACACCGAGACAGTTAACCCTGTCACAATCTCATCACCCAAAGACCATCATTCGGGCAAGCCGCTGTGGTCAGCAAACATCTCACTCCTCAGCTTGCAAAAACAAGAACACAACATCCAAATAAGGATATATCTTCCATGCTTTTCCCCGCCGCCATCATGCCACGGGTACTACCAGGAGGCATCACAACCAGCACAGTGCTATCTGCACGAACAAACGTTATGCAAATGTTTTTTACTTAATTACTACCGTTCCTCTGATGTCCTGTATGGTAATAAGTTACACCAACTGACGACACAAAAACAATAACAACCTGCAAGTCATATCGACTTAAATATGTTGTGTGCTTCACTCTGCCGGCCTCATAAAAACTCTTATTATCTTAAAAAAGAATTCACCTACGAAGGCAGTTGTAAACTAAATGCAAGAGTAAGCAAGGGAGAAGAGAGGGGACGTCATACTCATTACGTAATCTTGTTATTTACTCTAATGCAATGACTCTGTGATTACATTAACAGTGAAACTGGTGCCTAATTCACATGCCCGGATTGCGGGTGACACACCTGGATAGTAGCAAGAAATAACCGAAAGGCGCGAGGAGTTTCACAATTTATACTCCTCGCCAGATAGGGTTAGGGCGAGCAAATCCCGGAGGATAACCTCTGTGGGGCATGAACAATGCAAAGGACTGAAGACAAATACATATAATGTCGGCAGGGACACCTGAAGGTAAGAGGCCTCTTGGCAGATTTAGGCGTAGCTGGGATGATAATATTGGGATAGATCTTAAGGAGATGTGATGGTGTAGACTGGAGTTTTCTGCCTCAGGATAGATACTGGTGGCGGGCTCTAGTGAATATGGTAATGAACCTTTGGGTTTCATAAAATGCTGAGGATCTCTCGACTATGTAACCAAGTTCTAGCTGTTCAGCTCCATGCAGTTAGAGAACAAAGTATTGGGGGAAATGTATGGACCTGTGACAGAAAAAGTAACAGCAGCATAGCGAAAATTACATAATAATGAGCTTCAAAATTTGTACTTCTCAAATCAGAAGGATGTCACAAAGAGGGCATGTAAAATGCAAAGTCCCGAAAGGAAGAGACCGCTTCTAATATCCAGGTGAAGACTGGAGGATAATATTAAACTGTATCTTAAAGAAACAGGTTGTGAAAGTGTTGATTGGATTCAACAGGGTCTGGATATGGCCCAGTGGTATGATTTTGTGAACACACTGATAAACTGTTGTGTTGTAAAAATGCATGCAAAATTGTTTAATGCCATGTTCTGACATTTTCATGGCAGTGACCACTCATAATGCCGCCTTCTGTTTATTTAGTGGCAAATCCAGCAAATCTGAAACATGGTGCTTCAAGGTCAGTAAACAACGAGCAGCTGTGTCCAAATTNGGGAGGGGGGGTGTGGGGGGGGGGGGGAGCCAACAAAAAACCTCTGTCAGTATAACGGAGAACAAACTCAGACTGCTCCCACACAGAAAGCGGAAGTGTTACTGCTCTAGCCAACCTGCTCAGTGCAAATTATGACACTATATAGTCTGGTAAGTAGTTAGTAACGAAGAAAGCAGTCTTCTGGGATTTGGCACCGTGTATATGTGGTGTTAACACCAAATCCCAGAAGACTGCTTTCTTCATAGTCACCGCCGTGAAAGCCTCAAATCTTACATAGTTAGTAACGTTCTGGAAAAGAACATTCTGCATCTAACTTCAGGGCAGAAGTACAGGTACATACTCTGAAATGTTGGCACCCACCTCCTAAACTAAATAATAGACCTACTTTTCAAGAAGTTATTCAGACGTTTAGACTGCAGCCTTGACTTTGAAAACTGGTACAGGTACAGGCTGGACAACCGAGGGATCAGAGTTCGAGTCCCGGTAGGATAAAGAATTTTCTTCACTTCTTGATTTTGTCCAGACTGGCTCTGGGGGGTCCATCCAAACTCCTACTGGGGTACCAGCTGCTCTTGCTAAAGCGGCTGGGGCGTGAAGCTGACCACTCACCTCCTAACTAGTGCTGAGGTCAACAAAACGTGGGTCTATATATCCACTCCCCCATATGCCTTCATGGCGCAGTGCTTAATTAGTTAAGCTCAGGGACAACTCAACCTTTAACTTTTTTTTACAGCTTTAAACAGTAACTCACAGAAGCTATGGCGAATAAATCCCTTCTCTTCTACATTTATTGCCTATGTGATTCTACTAAACAAAGCAAATTTCACTATGATGTTCAGTATACGCTTTATCACAGTTACCCAACTTTCACTACTTCTGAATGCACCACAGTCAAAGGCTTTTGTGTTGTATCTACTCCCTACTGCATAAAACAATGAAGTGGGACAGACAGATAACAGGAAATGGACAAAATACAAGTTCCCAATAACAAATTTCTTGCACCAAATAGACATCTGCAGCCTTTCCTTATGTAAAAGAATCATGCTGTATGACTTTATAGGCTAATAAGCTGAAAAGCAAAAAAAGGAAACAGAAATTTAACCCTTTCCATGCTGAGATTTTAGTGACACAAATCTTATTCTGTTGGTACCTGTTCACACTAGACATATATGGGGAGGATAATAATAAAATGGATCTTAAATAAACAGATTGGGGTAGCATGAACTAGATTAACGTGGAAGGTTCCCAAGAGCATGGTACTGAACCTCTTGGCTCCATAAAAGGCAAGGAATTTCTTGAGTAGCTAAGCAACCATTTACCTTCTCATGGATTCGGCTTCACAGAGTTGGTATAATTTTTGTTATTATTATGCCACATGTAACTAGCAAATTGTAATTCCAGATCCTACTCTTATTATTTCACACAAAAATTTAATTTTATGTTACAGTATGTTCAGATATATTTCTTGGAAATTGAAGCCACTATGAGGTTTAAGGTTTTCACAATACTGAAGATTCATATTGTGGGCTTTTGGTCATGACATCATGTAGTTTGATATGTGGTCATCTATATTTCAGAAGAACCTCCATTCTAAATCTTTTACTCTGAAGATGGAAACATTATGTTTTTAAAAAATATCTGTGATCATCAACCATGCTACACAATGTCATAACCCCAAAGACTGCAGTATGAAGTCAATATGGCTGCTATAGCAGACATTGGGATATAGGGAAAATCGTAAATGTTTTTCAAGTGCTAAAACCAAGACTTAGCGGGGTACAAAGGAGGATTTAAGCTGCCAGAGGGTTAACTGTTGAAGAATGACAAAACGGTACCTTGGCTAATCTTGTAAAATAAGAAATAAGCATGCCCCATAGGAACCAGTACTTCTAATTGACACATGTTTTGGATTCTGGTAGGGGGACAAGGCATATGACCCCTCATGGATTTCTGGGACGGAAAAAAAAAAGAATGAAATATACAAAACATTAAAAATAACAAGTACTTTTTTACAAATAATATTCTTCTGTCTTGAGTGCACTACGGCAAAATTTCTGCCTGTTATTCTTGGATAACTCCCCCCCAGTGAAAAACTACTATCAGTTCCCATGTATATCATGCATAGCATGGAAAGAGTTAAACAGAGTCTTAATTGTTAGACATAAGCATCAATACTGAATCAGAATAAGAAATGCATTATGAAAATGTAAAGGCAGGCAGAAAGCTCAGACGCTTACATAAGCATCTGTAAGAATTAAAGTAAGAATGATTAATTCATGTATGAAACAGCTTCCTAACGTGCCACTTCATGACGGCCCAACTCCTCCTATGCAATGTCCTCGAATCAGTTGGTCCTCCCAAAACCTGGTACACAAATACAACAGACATCTCTACATACAGTAATTTATTAACCACCAAGTGAAATATGATGATGCCATACAGTATTCAATGGCCACCGAGTCCTTAAAACCAAAGGCAGACATATTCGTTAGACATCTGGGAGCCAAGCAATATTCTCATGGGCCAAACAAGAAGTTCCAAGAATTCAATACATCACCAATAACCTTAAAAAGATATGTTTTCATCTTGAAAATGAATTTATGGCAGCTGCATAAACATTAAATCCTGATGTACTGAATATGTGGATGTTCCTATAAAAAAAAAAAAAAAACTGGTACCATTGCATCAGAATCTTCCAGATGTGGACCACTCACATTTAGTACCATTAAGCTATTCATGTCCTCTGATTTCAGTGGGAACCAAAATTTGGTCTTTCAAGGTACTGTGTGCTGATTAGTAATTGTGCACAATATGATACCAGTGAAGATTTTAAAATAAATTCTTTATTCTGAAAAGAAAGTACATGTATATACATCTTAACCTCATATCCATGATTAAAGCTATTTAGGCTCAAATACAGCAACTCCCATACCTTTAAACTCACTCACTCATGGAGCTGAGCCCTTCTTGAGAAGCCGCCCACTGTGCAGCTACTCAAGAACCTTCCAGCTTTATGGAACCCGAAGATTCATAACCATGTTCACAAGAGCCCTCCACTGGTCCCTATCCTAAGTCAGATTGATCCAGTCCATACCATCCCATCCTATCTGTCTAAGATCCATTTTAATATTATCCACCCGCCTACATCTTGGTCTTCCTAGTGGTCTCTTTCCTTCTGGCTTTCCTACCAATATCCTATATGCATTTCTCTTCACCTCCATTCGTGCTACTTGCCATACCCATCTCATCCTCCTTGACCTGATCATTGTAATTACACCTGGAGAAGAGTACAAGTTATGAAGCTCCTCATTATGTAGTTTTCTCCAACCTCCTGTCACTTTATCTCTCTTCATTTCGAATATTCTCATCAACACCCTGTTCTCAAACATCTCAGTCTATGTTCCTCCCTTAACATCAGAAACCAAGTTTCATACCCATACAGAACCACAGGCAAAATTATAGTTTTCTATGAATATATTCCAATTCTTATGTAAATAGACAGCAGATGAGAAGACAAAATGTTCTGGACCGAATGGTAGCAAGCATTACCCGAGTTCAGTCCCCTCTTAATTTCCTCCTCAATCAGGTTTTGATTTGTTATCGTTGTTCCCAAATATCTGAACTGCGCCAAATTTTCAAAACCTGTTGCCTATATGTCATGATTTTGCCCTGAATTTTGGTGATGAGGCAGCAACATATACTTTTCTCTGTGTTTACTTCTAGACCAACCTCCTTACTTGCGTCGATTAAATTTTGTGTTTTTTTCTTTATGGTATCTATATTATCACCCAGTAGATTCACGTCATCGACATAGACCAACAGCTGATGTGTCCCATTTAATTTCAGTCTCACCTGGTTTTCCTGGACCTTCTTAATGGCATATTTTAAAGCAAAGTTGAAAAGGACTGGCGATAAAGCATCTCCTTGCTTTAGGCCATTCTGGATAGGAAAATTATCAGACAAATGTTTACCTATACTGACTTTACCATACGTTTTGTTTAAACACATTTTAATCAGCCTAACTAGCTTCATGGGTAACCCAAACTCTGTGAGATTACTGTACAATATTTCCCTCCTAACTGAATCATAGGCTTTCCTAAAGTCTACGAATAGCTGATATAGTGTCTCATTGTACTCCCATTTTTTCTCCAGTATCTGACGAATGCAAAAGATCTGATCTGTAGTTGATCTATTATGTCTAAACCCACACTGATGATCCCCAATAATTGCATTTATGTGTGGACTTAACCTTGAGAAAAGAATACTGGATAAAATTTTGTATGAAGTTGATAGCAATGATATCCCCTGATAATTACTACAGTCAGTTTTATCACCCTTCTTGTAAACTGGTACAACAGTAGACTCCTTCCACTGGTCAAGCAATTTTTCCTTATTCCAAACAGAACTGATTAGCTTATGGATCTTAGAACATAATATTTCACCTCCTGCTTGAATCAGTTCTGCCGGAATTTGATCATCACCTAAACCCACTCACACACGTTAAAGCTATATATGTCCTCAGGATCACTGAACAATAAAGCTATAAAATTCACCCTCTTCAGTTTCAGAACGAGCTACTTAATTATATTTTCAGTAATTCTTAAGAACCCAATGTCGCCCTTAGAGTAGTTTGAATCCTACTGGGAAGGTTGTGAGCCACGGTGTGAGAAACCATGTCATGTTCCGCTGACCAAGAAAGGATGAACATTAGAAATTAAAAAAGAATTGAGTAACTGAAATAATAAACTGTGACACTGCATGCATATTAAATGAATGCAAAAAATATTAAAAATAAAAAATATTCATAATTCTGAAGACAGATGTTTACTTGAACTGCCTCATTGGAGTGGGAGCATGATTACTGAGGACAATAGTGAAAGCCATCACCATTTAAGGTTATCTGTATAAATAAAATTCAAGTTAAAATATCCATGGCGACACAGGGCAAAATTTATATCTTAAATATCTTGACTCGTGGGCACCACAAGGACTTCTGGGACAGGAGGAGAATGTCACAAAATTTGATTATATTTATGGTGACTAAGGTTATTGTAACTGCCTGTCCTCAAGTTCAGGACAGAAGAATATTTTTTTATAAAATACTTTCAAATTTTATAATTAACATTTGGTATATTTTTTCTTGTCCTGGTACCGATGGTCAGACTGTTAAAGGGCATCGCTGTGAAACTGGTGACAAAATGGCAGAATCATTTGTAAGTACACAATATGCCAGGCTGTATAGGAACTTCACAGTGATATTACAGTCAAACTGCAAAATCACAGAGAAAGAGCCCAAGTCTGATACACAGTCACTTGTGACACAGTGTCTACTAAAAACATTGTTATTATTTATCATGGTAATTTATATGATAAATCTTCTAGAAACATAGTTTTCTTGGCAGTGAGTGTTGAAATTGCAATTGTCTGGGTTGTGACACCATGAAGCACTGTAGGTGGATACGAACGTTTCAGATAAACATCAAGCCTCAAAATTCTGGGTGGAAATGAAACACATTTTGAATAATGCTTAAAATAGCACACTTTTTATTGCATGATTAATGGTACTAGTGACAGAAAATGAGAATAGAGCCTTAAATGTATGCTGAACTACTTACTGCAGAGAAGAAAACAAAGGCTGCCCCCACCATAAATCTAAAACATCTCTGATGGGCCCATCACCATAAGATGGTGATGCAGATTGTTAGTTAAGATTCTACTTTCAATACATGATGGGGACCAGTATGAGCATATCAGAGATCTGTTGAACACAGAGGACTTTCCTTTTATGAACTCACCTACTCAATGTACAGCACAACCTCAAAGATGTTTTAAACAAAGTCTATACAGTTCCATGATACTTTCTTATCTTGGATTACAGAAGGAAGACACTAGAGGGTTGGAAAGTGGTCTCAATAAATAAATATCTCCTTAGAGATTTTAAGTGGTGTTATTCAAAGTATCTCCTGAACTTTTTTAATTAACACAATACTGATTGTTTCAAGACAGATCTTCATCCATCCCTAGAAGTTGTTATATAATCTTGTTTTATTACTGCTTTATTTTTGTGGTTCATCCATGAAATCTCAGATTTCTTTTTGTTTTTCATAGTTCATAATGTTGTGATTCCTCTCATCTGATGGTTAAAAATGATAGAAACAAGTTCATCTGTAATACTTTATTCTAAAAGTAATCCATTTTGACAACTCAATTTTAAAACAATTCCTAATGAGAAAAACTAATTTCTTATTCCTCCCCCCGAGTTTTCACCAACGGGTTTTTACTTTGCCTGCAGATGACCCTTGTTACTAACAGTTTCTTTTTTTTCTTGCAGTACTTTTGCTTCACAGACTTTGAAGCTAGGTCTACCAAGAATCCTAAGGAAGTAAAGCTCCATACATATGCCTCTTACATAATGAAGGAAACAGAACAAATTCCTGAAACATTCTGATTTTGAAAAACTGGAGCAAAGAGGTATGTTGAAATATCAAACACAAGAGACTGTTACACATGATCAGATAGCAGTAGATTATTTTGTAAAATTGTGCATCAACCTACACTCCCTTAGGGTTCAAAATATAATTTTGTGTGTCTCAGAGCAGATAAAAATTGTGTTTTTAACACAGTGCAAGTAAACAATTATAAACACCTTCCACCTGATAGAACTTTCAAATCTTATTACAGTCAATTACTCTTACAACAGGTGCCATTTAAAAGAAGTATAAAAAGCATTAAAAATGTTTCGGTTTCGGTGATTTTATATCTTCATAATTTAATCTAATTTTTCTTTTCCTTTGATTCAATGCAGCAGGAAATGTAACTTTGGCATTCCAAACATAATATACATAATATATACATATCGGTCAGCTGTGACATTCACAGTCTCTACTTACTCGTGTTTTATGGCCCCTGCTGACTTTTACGAGTTATTTCTTCTACTCCTCATCTCCAAAAGTTTAATTTATGCATGTACGTCAGTTTCTCACGTACACGCAAATTGCTTCCCCCGAAGCGACATACCTTATCGTATTTTACAACTACACTTCCCACACTTCCCATCCATTTTCTATACCCACGAACTGCCAGTCAGTGCAACTAGCTTTCCTATCGCTTTTTTTTTTCTCCTGGCAGCTCCTAATGACCATATATTTCTCGCTGCGCATACGCTTTTGTCAACTTAACTTCTGACTTATGCATAACATTTGAAAGCGAAATGTTAGAAATCATAACTTAAAGCTAATAATTTATTTATTAAGACATTTAAAATATATTACAAAGTACGTGCCAAATACTCTGGAATAGGGATATTCGTACTCAAGTGTCATGACCAATTGTGAAGGGAAACACGGGTTCGTAGCATCAGAGTTGGCTATGTCACGATTGACGTGTAGGGGCTGTCACGGATATGTCAATATGGAGGATGTCGAAGATGTGGAGGGACTGTAGGTTACATTGACAGATTATAAGCTAATATATTGTTATCAAGTTATTAAAACTCAGTAACCAATAGGGATCGTGACAGTCTACATGATTATTATACTTAGGCCTAATTTCAGGAATATTAGTTAGAAGTAGGAGTGATTGGTAGCAGTGTAAGTTCTGAAAGGAATAAAATATGAATGTGTAGTAAGTACTCCTTCTATTTGATTACGTGGTACAGTTATTATGTAAGTGGATGTATATTCATTTTTTGTTATACATATATGCTATGTATTTCAGCAATCGGGCAAATGGCGGTTACACTGGTACAGCTTACGATCGCTGGGTGGAGCAGCGTGGTAATGAGAGTAACAACAAATCTACTATTACCAAAATGCAACACCATTACTGGGTAACAAAACAAACTGTGTTTAGGAAACTGGGAAAGAAGGAAGATGATTGTATTGTGGCGTCTGATGCAGAATTGGATGCAAAATTGGAGCTCTTCCGTTCAATTCAAGATAGTTGCCTGGATTTGCAACGAATCATTGACAAGTATCAGGAGCGACTATGCAGTAAGAATTCTTGAGACATTTTCCATACCGTTGACTTGAATGTTACAGAGAGGTCAAAGGTTTACAGCCAGTGAGTCAAGTTTGTTGTATATTAGGAAGCTGGCAGTAACAGCCTTTGTAGCATACTTTCCTTATTTGAAAGAGAGAGAGAGAAAGAAAGGCTTATGGGATCGTCTGTGTCTGTGTGTACCCCCCCCCCCGTCATTGCTAGGCAACAGCTCGGTAAACACGTTCCCGGACCGTTGCTAGGCAACAGCTCGATAAGCACATTACTGAGGCAGTGAATATGTACGCAACAATAGAAGAAATGTTGGACGCGGTGTTTCCTGTGCAATGCAGTCATATCAGATACTCGGTATGTAGTGAAAGGAAAGCAGGCAATTAGTTTTTCCTAGAACTTCATATGTTTTGGGTCACTGAGCTCTGGTAACACTAATACCTAAGGTTTATGTGTAACACATTCTGATGATATGCACTTTGCCTCTGTGGCTTCAGATCGACCTGCTGATGTTAAAGCATGTATTGGACCTCAGTAGTACCAGCATAAGAAAAATGTTGGTTAAATTGCAGTATAAGGGGTCAGTGACCAGTGACCATCCCTCCGTGGCTCACCTTTCTCAGAGCTTCCACTGTACTATGCAGATGCAGTTCCCCATGAACTGCCCGACATATGAAGTACCTCTTGACCAATTATAGGCTGACAATGCCATGTTTTTTATTTCTTTTTAAAAATTAAGTTCCAGACATTGTAACATGATTGCAAATCTTTTATTGTTAGATCTTTAGTTGAGTTTTTTTTATTATTATTTTTCAGTATATTCTGACGTTAGTTTGAAAATCAAGTTCTGAGGTTGGTAGTGCCCTCCATCGTTACCTGTTGATCCAGGCCGTAGCTTCAGCCATTACAATCTTACATTTCTAGCCGTCTCCATATCTGCACTTCATGTCAGCACAGCGCCATGGCAGGTGGAACCTGCTGGTGTGAGGGTGGAGGGGGCAGGGGAACACTGCTTGTCATAGTGCCACCATAAACTGGAATTTTATGCAGACATCATGATATAATTGCTTTCTTATATTTTGCATTATGTTTAGTTGGTTTTATTTATGTTAGATTGAATTTTGGTATCATTTCTTGACAATAGCAGCTGTATATTGTGTTTTTATATTTGTACTGTAGACAGTGGATAGGTTGAGCTTTCACTTCAGAGGTTACTGAGAAAGGAGAGGTGTCTGTCAGGACACTTTCCCTATACCACTGTTGCATGCAGTTTTATTCAGGCTTCTTTATCTGCACAGATCTAGCACAGGAGGAAAATGCTATGGGCAGATTTTTGAAGGAATCGGGCAAGAGTGATAAAACACGTGCTGGAAAGATGATGACAGCGGTAGGAAAGTCGTTGTCTTATTCCGGACAGCAGCGACTGACTTTGAGAGTGCCTCTGCTCCGCCTGTATCAGGTAAAGATTCATGATGTGATAGGGATTGGTTGTGGCACTGTCATTTTTGGTGGTTTTATTCGGTGTTTCCAGGCAAATGTTAGGACAAAGCCTAAATTATGTTTTCTGTGTGATCTAAATGCTACTAGCCTTCCTGCAACGTACCACCTAGCTGCCTCCATGGTTGTCTGTCGTAGGCATCCATCAGACCACATGGTGCCCAGTCCTAGAAGACAATCTTCATTGTGTACACTATGAGAAGCACAGATCTTATGTTACTTATGTTTAAGATTATGTGTGTAAAATATAAAAATACACTTTTTCTCTTTTTGTCCTTAATACAAAGTTTGTTTTGCTGATTGTACTTAAATGACACTGGGAGCTGGGGCAGCTCAGTCAGTATAGCAACTTGCCATTGGCTGGACGACCAAGGCTTCGGAGTTCGAGTCCCAAGTAGGTGCAAAGAATTTTCTCTATGTTATCCAGACCGGTTCTGGGGCCCACCAAACTTTGTATCCAATTGGAACCAGGGGCTCTTTCCCCGGGGTAAAGTGGCCGTGCCTGAAGCTGGCCTCTCACCTCCAACTAGTGCCGAGGTCAAGAAAATGTGGATCTATACATCCACTCCCACATATGCCTTCATGGCATAGTGCTTAATTAAGCACAGGGACAACTTTACGTTTTGTGTAAATGAGGTATTTGTGTATTGCCTGTTCTAGTAATGTCCTGTTTTCTGATATAAGTAAGAATGTCCACTCTCTGGTTTCTTGGCACAGGAATGCTGTTGTATATAATTACAGAGTTACCCCATCTTACCCTACATGAAAAACCTAAATCATTCAATATTGTTACTAGCCTATTGGCTGGATTATTTGGGAACTGGGTTTGATTCCAAGCAGGTGCATGTATTTTTCTTTTTTCCCCAGCATCAGTACTGACTTTGGGACTCACCCAGCCTCCTCTCTAGTAAATACTTGGTGCTGTTCCTCCAGGTATAAGCAGCAGCTCAAGTAGATGCTCACCACTCGCTTCTAGTGCCGAGAGTATGAATGTGTGAAGTTTCACCTCTTTCCATCCATATGTTATCATGGCATGGTGTTTCATTAAGCACAGGGACAGCTTTACCACTGCCTTTACTTTGAGAAGGAAGTTGTAACAGTAGAATCTGGCACTAAGAATCAGAATGTAATCGAAGGGTGCAGCAAAGTGTGTAATGAAGAGCTTAGTGGTATTCCATATTTAGTGAATTTATTTTTCTCATCCAAGTCGGAGTCCAATATAAACAATTTATTATTTAAGATTTGAGGCTTTCACGGCGGTGACTATAAATAAAGCAGTCTTCTGGGATTTGGCATCGTGTATATGTGGTGTTAACCGACGTTTCGGAGGAATGTATCGCCTTTACCAGTTCTCATAGTCTCTTTGCTTGCGGATTTCTTATATTTTTCCTTCTAGCCTGAAGATGGAGGCGATACGTTCCTCCGAAACGTCGGTTAACACCACATATACACGGTGCCAAATCCCAGAAGACTGCTTTCTTCAATTTATTATTTGACTAATTTGATTAAATAAATGTTCATTACAGGAGGTGGATACATTTCGACATCGTGCTATCGAAGATACGTTGCAGAATGTCAGTAGCATGGAGAAAGTTCGCACAGAATACCGTGCCTCGTTAAATTGGATGAAGAATGTTTCACAAGAACTAGACCCTGATACATACAAGCAACTGGAACGATTTAGGAAGGTAATTCATACTTGCTGAATAAGCAGATGTAGACAGCTGTCAACATCTGGTCCTCTGGCTTGGGATTGACGCAGTTCAGTCCTGACCACCGACTGTAATACTGGAAACAGAAACAAGCAGTATCTGTGTGTAAGAGAGCCACTTGCATGAAGATGGGAACAGATGCAAATTGCAAAATATTTTTATTAAATATATCTCAGGCATTGGACAATATGTCCATCATAAGTATGGTGCATTAAGCCTTGCATTTTCAAAATAGCATGGAATTTATTTTATATGTGTATATTTTCCCAACATACTCGTGTTAACTCTGTGATGTCTGTCCTTCCATGTGGAACATTCTAAGAACCACAATACAGATATTCATGAATTTAGTGGTTTTTATGCTGTCACAACAATATTATATATAATAAAGTATTATTTTTATTGCTAGTGGGGTGGGACTAAGTCCCTTGTACTGCGGCCACTTCTGGCCTATTGTACCAGCCCCAGATGATAGGTGAGGGTGATTGTGAAGCAATTGGTGGAATGGAGATTGGGAGGGGAAACCGAAGTACTCGGAGAAAACCTGCCCCAGTGCCACTTTGTTCACCACAAATCCCACTTGACCAGACCTGGGATCGAACCCAGGCCGCCGCAGTGGGAAGCCAGCAACTAACCGCTTGAGCTGTGGCGCGGCCCCTATAATAAAGTAACTGATCTGTTGATACATTCAGTTCAATTACTTATTATACACAACGGAATCAGTGTGTTATGTGGCGACAAAACCCCTAAATCTGTATCCACAACAGGATGCATAGCATAAAAATAAGGTAATGGTAATGGTATGTGAGAAACTTGCAGCACCTGAAGATGACGTGTTTGAGGTTGAAACATATAGTGCATGCTATATAAATAAATAAATAGATAGATAATAAAGTATTGTTCTGATGGTAAAAATTGTATTGTGTTCATTGTATATATGCAATAGGATGCAATTCTTAAAAATAAAAATAAGATAATTGTGACATGTGACACTGGAGAGTTCTAGTGAACGTCACAAGTAAGTTCCAGTCTTGGTTAATATTGGGTAGCAATAGCAGAGACTTCACTAGAAGAATAACATGTCCCTGCATCTCAAGCATAACTCACTCAATATTTATCAAAACCCTTTTTTTTATACTTTATTTATAAGGGCGCATCAGATGTTAGCATTTATGAACTGAAAATGTAGGGACAGTTACAAATTGAATGTGCCAGTGCCCTTAGCTTGCTTGGGCACAGTTGAGATCTGAGCCCGGTACAGACAACACAAAGAACAGAAATATCACAAAGTGACAAGCAGGAAATGTACATAAACAAAAAAAAACTCTGTGATTTTAGTATGCAAGCAAACTACACAGACTGCCACTTGTTGGCGAAGTTTAGTGCCAACTTTTGCAGATAGAGGTGTCGCATGGTCAGCGCAACGAATCCCCACGGCCATTAATTTCGGTTTTCTAAACTGGAGCTGCTATTTCCTTGAAATAGCTTCTCAGTTATCCTCACGAGGCTGAGTGGGCCCCATTACAGACCCACTGCTTCTCAGATAAATAATTTGGGTAGCACCGGGAATCGAACCCGGGACCTCTGGATCTGTACCCAGGAACGCTGACCGCTAGACCACAGAGGAGGTGCAGGAAATATACACAGAATCACAAAACCTAAAACAAACAATAGGACATGTACGTCACACACAGAATCATGTGACTATAGGGAACCACAGAAGAAAACAACTGATATTTTGTAACACCAAGTCCATTATCAGTTTTCAATTTAAGTTCAGTTTAAAATTGTTACTTTTACTTATCTGAATTGATTGGCAAAGCAGGTACTGTGCACCCTCATAGTGACACCTTGGAACCTGAAGACTACATGCATAGTCAGACATGTGCTTTGACTGATGTACAAGCCGTCCAGTGTAATGGTGAAATGCCTTTGTAACTGATAAACAGTTATAATAAATATAACAGTAACAATTTTGTGTTGCAGTATATATGACTGTTACATGTAACCTAAACAGAGGACTCATATATGGTAATTGCATTCCTGAGAATTGTTGCATATGTCAAAAATACTTTGGCGTACAGACCTGTTGGTAAGAGGTGACTCTGTAAACAGCAGTCATTTCTGGGCAACGGCTTAGTAACCGCATTCCTGTTGCTAGGCAGCAGATTCTTAATAATACAATAGAAGAGCTATGTTTTCTACTTGGTCCTTGCTGATGTTATAGTCGGTTCTGTACGGGAATCTATTAAGAGAGGACTTCAGTCCGGAGGCAGAGGAATAGCCGTTGTGGGAGCTGTTACTGGGAAACCTCTAGTAACAGACTGAGAACATTAGAGTATATGCTGTAGTGAATTGTAAAGTGTGGAAATAGTGATAGTGTTATAATTATAATAAATCTATTAACCAATCCAAACCCCACCTACAGTCACATACACTACATGACAGTATCAAAAAGAGGAAACGTTGAATGAACACTGCACATGGTGGAGGAATAGGAAGTGACATTATTATTTATTTAAACTGCAAATGGGTTTTTACCTAGTGGCAGTGGTACTACAATGAGACAACACAAATATGCACCTCACACAAAACTACACAAACAACAAAGTATACACTAGCACATGATATGGTAGATGTAAAGTGACAAAGTCAGGGGGATTGCCTTCACAACTCAGTCAGTATACACAGCATCTTTTTCCATGACCAGAAGTAGGACACTGATGTTTGTCATGCAGCTAAAACAAATCCACAGACAATGAAAGTGTGTATAATGAAACAAAACGTGATGCTGTGAGGTAGAATTGTTTGTACAGNAATCCAAAGCCTCGATAGTCCCAAGTGCTCTACACCATACTGATTTTATTTGTTTTCTAAATGACGGTTCTGATCTGTTGTAGGTTCAAGGCCAGGTACGTCGAAGTAAATCTCGCTTTGACCAGTTGAAGTTGGACTGCCTTCAGAAGGTGGATCTCTTAGCTGCAGCACGCTGCAATATGTTCTCTCATGCTCTCATTCTCTACCAGAATTCACTTCTTCAGTTTGCAGAGAAGACGGCTAGCACCTTTACTACTATAGCAAACAGCTTTAAGGGTATGAATACACATAAAGCATGGCAGACTAAATTTTTTCATTGTAGGCAAAGGTAACAAAATTTTCTGAATTTAGGCTTTCATACAGGTTCATTGTTTATATTGATTCTGCTCCTGGGTCTTTGCACCATTTAAACATGCGCAGAATTGCCAATATTTCATACGTACATTCTGCCTCCCTCTTCAGCATCAGAATAAGGTGAATCAGTATTCATTTTTTGTTCCAACTGACTTTTTTATTTGGGGGGGGGGCTGATGGCCCTGTCTTCTGTCCCTGTTCACAAAGATTGGGTGCCAGCCCCCACCCTTCATGCTGAGCGTGTCTTGGATGAAAGCCTACGTATGCATGAACACTATGTTCATATTGACCTTGCATATGAAGGCAGCTTGTACCCCTGAAACATCAGCAACACTACTCACACTCACACAATGCAGAAGCCCAAGAGCAGTAAAAGAAGTTATTGCTGTGTCTAAGCACTCTTCTATGAAGATGTGTGGGGGTACACAAAAGCAAGCTCTGCACATATTTAACCTCAGAAAATTGATGAGGAGAAGGCTTAGTGTCACGTTCTGACTGTTGGGCTCCTGTGGAAAGAGCCACCGGAACCTGTTTGACACGAGGCTGGGTTGGCCTGAGAGTTATTAGCCTGAATGCAGTGGTAAAGAGAACGATTTTGAATGAGCCCTCAGCCAGCGCATTGCCAGTGTTGGAAGTGACTAGTGTGTACACTACTGACAGATTTGAGGTTCTCATAGTGGTGACTATGAGAGTATTGTCTTCAGGGACATCACAAAATGTTATCTGGTAGAAGTTCACCATTGTTTCTAAGGTTTACACTGCCCCCAACTTCTTGATTGAAAGGTAAGTTAAGCAGGCAACAGGTAGTGGGTTGAGCAAGTCGCTCTGGGTTCAGGTGTAGGTGTGTAAAGAAACTCGGGGACAGCCACTAGCAACAGAAGGAAGAGGAACTAGTGTTGGCCATGAAAAGAGATTGTATTTTGCTAAAGTAGAGAGCTGGGAGAATGTGGAAGAGACGTAGCACATGTGGGCTGCGCAGCGCATAAATAATTTGTGTGTCTGTTGGACAGAAGTATATGTGGTGCTGTTGATTGTCATTCTCTGAGAGGTGCCCATTAATGAAGGTTTCGTTGTATTTATACATGATTTTCATGGTTTGAATTATCATTTGTGTGTGTCACATGTAGGTTATCAGCACTATGACTTTTGTGTGGTGAAGGAATTAGCTGAACCATCTATGAAACTTGCCGAGCAGCAGCAACAAGAGAAAGGACAGGAAGCTCCATCTGAGACTGATAAAGACAAGTAAGTAAAGCATTAATTTTTTTTGTGTCATATTGGGGTTATTCAAATGAGACTAGTACATATTGCTAGCCATTTATCCTGAGGCCGCGCCATAGCTCAAGTGGTTAGTCGCTGGTTTCCCACTGCAGCGGCCTGGGTTCGATCCCAGGTCTGGTCAAGTGGGATTTGTGGTGAACAAAGTGGTGCTGGGGTGGGTTTTCCCCGAGTACTTTGGTTTCCCCTGCCAATCTTCATTCCACCAAATTCTCCATCATAATCTCCCAGGGTAGGTACAGTAGGCCAATCAGTGGCTCCCGTGCTGAGTGGACCCAGTTGGACTCCACCCCCCACTAAGCGAATTAAAAAAATTACCTGTTTATCCTGCTTGGATCGATTCTCAACCAGGAATGTCAAGTATCCCATTTTCTCCAGTGTGCCCATTCTATTGTGCAACTTGTCAAGTGCTGCTGTCCTAATTACAGGAGGAAGAATAAGATAATGGGTTATACTGCTGTGTAGTTCATTAGGATTCAGACATTTCAGAGGAATATGTTGCCTTCTGTCGTGTCGGAAGAGTAAGCCCAACAGGATACAAGCAAGAAGCAGGCAGCAAAGAGAGCAGCTCTTGAACCCTGAAGATGGAGATGATGCATTCCTCCAAATCACCGGTACTCTTCCGGCTGAACTGCAGTATTACAGTCTAGAGGATCATGCTATGCATAGTCATTACTGTGAGAACATAAGTCCAATTAAAATGAGGAAATTTTTTGTCTGTAGTCGCTGAAGTTCTTGAGCTTGTATTTATGTATGACCTTGTATCTGTATAAGTATTGTGTACCTTTGACCTTTGGGGGTTATCCATATTGTGTGTTGAAGCAGTTCACACGTTTCAGCATACATTGCAGTCACCATCTTCTCCATATGCTGAAGATACACATAGATACAGAGTGTGAAATCCTAAGCAAAGAGTGAAAGGAACATGAAACCACACCGTGAATACATGATGGAGTAGAGGTAGAGCTCAAACATTCTAAACCTCAGCGCTAGATATAGGTGTGTGGTCAGCTCCACTTTCTGGCCACTTTGCTTCATGAAAGGAGATGCCATTGTCCATTGCATACGAGGCTGCGTGGGTCTGGATGTGGGATTGGAGGGGAACATCTCTGGCATTATAATCATATCCCAGATCTCTTGTCATTCAGACCATAGCCTTGTCGCTATCCTGACTTGAGCCATGCCAATTCCGAAGAATGATGTAAACAAGTTATGTTACCAGATGTGCTTCCCACTTACAGCAGTTACCGTCTTTCCCTTTCAGACTGTTATTTTTTGATGCTGAGTATCATGATGTAGAAACAGGGACAGAAAGTGCTGAGGCTGTGAAGTCAGAAGATGCATCAAGTCTTGAAAATCTCCTGACAGCACCTGATCAGCAACCTCAGCTGTCAGACCAGTTACTGGAATTCAACACAGATGCTTCTCCAATACAGCCTGCAATGGCAGCAACACTCGCATCTGAGAAATGTATGCAAAGAACATTAATCATTTTCACACTTGAGTTATTTATTGTACTGTACATTAGCTCCAGATGTAATCTGTTACTTACCTGAGGCCCAACTCTACGAACAGGGTACATCGTTCTTTGTGTAGTCAACCTTGTGAAAGGCGTATGAATACTGCATATGCATTGAAAGTAAAGTCTTGTAACTTCCGAATGATGGTCTAAAGGTCTGTGTTACTAACTGGTAGTGATGCTCTCTCATTCCAGTAGCACTCAGAGTGAAATAATATTATGATATCTAGAGTTCACGGGTATCTCTCGACTTGCAAATGCAATAATTCCATGAAAACTGTTTGTGAGCTGAAAATTCTTAAATCAAAAGTTATATTCCCATTACTTTATGTGTAGAAGTAGCTCACGCGTCCCAAAATAGTCTCCCAGTATTTTTTAACATGTTTTGTTAGTATATAAGCAAGCTGTGCCATAGCTGAAACTGTTAGTCACTGGCTTCCCACTGCGGCAGCCCAGTTTTGATCGTGGGTCTGGACAAGTGGGATTTGTGGTGGACGAAGTGGCACTGGGGAAGGTTTTCTCCGAGTACTTCGGTTTCCCCTGCCAATCTTCATTCCACCAGTTTCTCCACAATCACCCTCACCTGTCATCTGGGGCTGGTGCAATAGGCCAGAAGTGGCAGTAGTACACGGGACATAGTCCCACCCCACTAGCAATAAAAAAAATAGTATATAAGCATGAAAGTAAAAACAGCATTATTTATTTATCATATTTATTGTTGCAAATAAAACTGTTTTATTACAGTTGCATTTATTTTCTCATAGCTGATGCTTTGCTGTGATGCAGTTCTGGTATCACGTCAATGAAGCCACTCAATTGCACATCTTTAGGGAACAAATATAGACTGTATGTCAGTGTGACAGCAATAACAGTAGACAGTATTAATTTACTGACAGCTCTGAAGGTGATAAGGTTGGGAGTAGCTAAATGCTTGTGCAACAGTTATGCAGTACACTGATATTACAGAAGTAAACATCCGTCTTTAACATTTATTGTAGATCTCTACCTTCCCACATATTGTATATATTTTTCTCAACCTTTGCAAGAAATTTCTTACAAGCATAAGTTGTTTGTTGTGGTGTAAATGAAATTTATTAAGTGAAAAATAGGTACAATTTAACATGCTTCAATATAATCCTGTATTTAAGCATCCTCCTGCATTATTAGATCTAATGCTGTTTATTGTACTGCACAGTCCATCAACAATACAACAAATTGTTCCTTCTTTCTTACATTTTCACTTTTGACACAACAGCAGTAGCAGTAAGACACCTGAAGATGGCCATTTAGGGCTGAAAAATGTTGATTCAAAAGTGAAAAGTGTAAGCAAGAAGAAACAATTTGTCACATTGTTGATGGACTTTGTAGTACAATAAGGAGTAATAGATGTTTCACTGTAGCATAAATTATAAATCCGGTGTTCTTAAAATTAGAGGTATCTGTGTAATGTTGAATGATGGGGTGACTGTACAAGCAGGAGACATAAATTCTGTATTCAAGATGATAAGAGCTGAAAGGTAACGGTTCATTCAGTAATCTGTGTTGCTCTTCTAATTACAGCTGCTACAACAGGCTTGGATCTTTTGACGAGCAGTGTCGACGACTTCACATTGCTGAATGAGATCCTGAGCAGTGCAGACACTGCGGGGCAGAGCATGGGGTTTGGACCTCAGTGGGAAGCAGTGTTTGGTGTGGAAAATGGCAACACTGAACAAGAGATAGACTTGGTCCCACAATGGGCGGCAGTGTTCGGGGGAGGGAATGACAGCGGTAATAGTGACCAGAAGACAATTGCTCAAGACTCAGCTTCCTCATTCCTCCCTTCACAGCTCTTGGATCAGTTCACATCACTGCATACAGCCCCAAGTAAGTTTTCATGTTCGTTGATTTCTCACCAAGCATGCTGAGAATTAGGGACAAAAATAATTCCGTGGTTTTAGCCCGCAAGTGAACTGTCCTGACCGAGCGACCGCCACTTGTTGGCAAAGTTAGTGTCCACTCAGCCTCATCAGGATAATTTAGGAGCTATTTCAAGGAAATAGCTGCTCTGGTCTAGAAAACCGAGATTAACGGCCATGGGGATCCGTTGCACTGACCACGCGACACCTCTATCCGCTAAAGTTGACACTGAGAATTAAGATTTTGTTAAATTCATGAAATGTATTTACCAAAGAAACTGAAATATTTGTGAGATCTGAGGTTCTCATGGCAGTGACAATGAACAATATGACCTTGTGGGTTGTTATGACTACAGTCAAGTAGTTTACAAATGTTTCAGATACCCTTCACATCTAACCTATAGGGGTAAAGATTAATCCAAGTTACCAAGTAGTATGCTTGCATGGCTTACTTTTCGGCCCTGAATTTAAATTTATTTATTTCTTGAAATTGTCATCAGTTTTTCAGAGATTTGGTTTTGGGTAGTGGCAAGCTTGAAGCTTTTGATAAATGTAACATCTAGTATCACTCAGTCCTTGTACAGCAGATTATCATGGTGCAATGTGATTGGTCTGAAAACTTCCATGTCCTATCTGGCTGTCTTACAGATTGCTGTATATATTTTGATCCTTTCCTTTGAAAATGGTAGTACAAAGTTTTAAGGCTCACGTTTGAATTCGGCAATTGATACCCCAATTTTGGGCCTAGGCCTACCTCCATGAAACTCTGTTTCACTTCACTTTACTAGATCATACACATTCGGTAGGACCCCTTGGGTGGGTGATGAGCTCGTCGCAAGGCCTCTACCTGTTCACAAGCACAGAAAAATGCACATGCAAACACAAACACTAAACATCCATGCCCTGAGTGGGTTTCAAACCCACAATCCTCACTTCTGAGCAAGTGAAGACAGTGCATGCCTTAGACTGCTCAGCTACTGTGACCGGCCATATTTAGTATAATCACCCATTTTGCTTTAAAGGGCAGAAAGAAGTGTTTGTTTTGTTGTGCAGTGTAGTGATTGCCCTTTGAGGCTCATTTAGGTGCTTGTCCTGTGGCCAAAATTCTTCATGCTAGCGGTATGACAAACTCAGTGTATGCAGGTACATCGGGAGATGGAGCAGAGAGTCCTTTCATGATGGGACTAACAGCTACCCCACAACTCCAGCCACAGACGGCTCCAGCATCAAAGAGCCCTACAAGTACTCCAGCACGTGTCAACAAGGATAAGGTATTCTTGGCTGCATGCTTGGGTCTTTCTGCTTACAGAACTTGTTTTGCTTTAAAAAATGTAAGCATGACTTTACTAAAGCCTTCAGATTGTTTGTGATTTATGTGACAGCACTGTCGGTCTCTCAGGCTATACATTTAGTATTGAATGGCACCATGATGAAGAAATAACTGTTTGCTGTGTACCAGGTTGGTTATGTTAGTATTCTTAATCTGTGTAGCTTGACTACATGAAGCACCAACAGTTCTTCCTGAGTGGGGCACGGACTTTTATGAAGCTCCAGTATAACTGATACAGTACAGGTATTCCTCATTATGTGTGAATCTAAAAAATATGAATTAAAATATCTGGACTACTTTCAATTAATGACACCTGTTGCGAATTTCTTTCTGGGCAATCCAGAGAGACAGAAAGAAGGGTGAGTAGATTGGTGAGGAGGAATGCGAGGGAAGGTGAGAAAATCATGTCCAGTGTATGTGATTTAACCTCTGCAACTTATTTTTGAAACATCACCATCGCGTGAATCGAGGAATACCTGTATTTGAAAGGGGACATTGTGGATTTTATAAACATCACCAACGTGACAGTGCTGTTACCATTCTCTCTGATTTCTGACTACGTTGGAGCCACAATTTAATAATTCCTGGCCCCACCTTCATGTGACATAGCAGGCAACTAAGAAAAACGTAGCACTGCTCTAAGGTGACCATTTCAAGTCCGCATGTTGGAGCATGCAGACAGAAACACTTGTAGTGGAACTGCAAATAAAACATATGACTGTCACTGTCCCTGGCAAACATGTGATTGTCAAGGCAGGCAGTGCTGTTTTGATGTGGACAGATCTGAGTGGTGATACAGGTGATCATTATATTGTGGCCAGATTGTGGACAACANCGCTTGCAGATTTACTTATACTTTTTCTTCAACCCTGAAGATGGGGGCGATACGTTCCTCCGAAACGTCGGTTAACACCACATATACACGGTGCCAAATCCCAGAAGACTGCTTTCTTCAACAAATGTCTTGTATAAGAGAAGCAGCTTGTAAAGGCACCTCCAGAGGTTACTATGCACCTTCTTATTTATTTTAAGAACTGTAAATATCGATTTGAACTAACCATTCCTTAAATAAATTCTAAGGATTTTTGATAATGATATATTACACTTAGTATTACTGGTTTTTTGACTTTGCCTATTGCCTGGTATTGCAAAGGGGGCATGTTTTGGAAGCTGGGAAGATGTCTTCCCCACCTTTGTACCTGTGGATAAAAGCAGACCAAGTTTCCAACATGGTATTGTCACGTGTTTATGGCACCATGACTGATAATAACAGGTTCTGGCTTGGATGATTGGATTTATTAACGCCTTATACAATATCCCTGAATCACAACCAATTACAACAGCTCACAGTCAATGACTGCCTAAGACTTGCTCCATTCTGACTGGATTATGACTGTCTTCTCTTGTAGTCTGTCTTATTCTGTTCTCTCCTGGTTTCCAATTGACTGATTTGGTTCAGGTTTACAAATGACTTAGTTCTCGGTTCTCCTTTCTGCTGCAACTGCCTTCTGATTGATGAATCATGAATGACTTCATTCTTATCTGAATGGCTGCTTATATAGTGTAACAGTATCCTAGGAAAATGTTTGTTGAATGTTTATATCCATGGACACGTATCTCATGCCTCCGCGATGTGTTTGCCAATACGTGTCCTAGAAACCATGTACATGTCACAGTATTCTCCTCTTCAGAATATTAGACAGTGGACAAACTCCAGAAGGCCCGGTAATACTAAATAATGGTCTTTTCTGTTTTCCAGGACAAACGCGCTGCCTGGTTTAATCTCTTTGCCGATCTAGACCCTCTTGCTGACCCAGATGCCGTTGGTCGCACTGTACCGGGTGCTGAAGACCGGAACTGCTGAGTTCTAGTTCATCCGTGCCAAGCCACAATCATACAAGAGTATTCCAGATGTTATTTTTTTCGTTTTTGTTACGTGTGTATATATTTGGTCGAGGGAGATTTGAATATTGTACAATAAATTGTGCAGGGAAATGCATGTGTTCCGTAAGTGGAATATTGTGTATACCATTTAGTGTGAAAATTGTTTATATTTACCTTTTCAAGCCTACACTTAAGTCATCACTAAGATGGAACTCCAATTTATACTTGTATTTTGAACTAGTATTAACATGAGGATTGTTCAGATGAAACCTGTTTGTGGCATATTTATAGCAGGTGTATCCAGTTTCAGGCATTTACATGAGTGTTGTGCATGGTATGTCAGCATTCAACCAGGCTGGAGGTTGTTGGAACAGCCCTCATGTAGTCCGGAACTGTTGTGGCATGATTTCATATGTTTGGCCCCATCAGAGTTCAGACAGACTGTGCATGAAGACATCAAGGCCACAGCAGTGCAGTGGTCCCAGCAGCAGTCCAGGCTTCTTTGCAGGGCCAAACCATCATCCAGTATGTGAACGGGATGGCTTCTTCATCGCCGTGGGGAGAATTCTTAATGGGCTTTGCTTCCTCACTAGAGGCATCCAGGAATGGGTTTCATTTCAACAACTGGCCTTATGCATTTACATTCCATTAGTGCAAAAAGTCACTGCACATTGCTTGCTTTTCTGTATAAGTTGCATTTTATATGGTTCCTATGATATCAGGCAGTGCAAGAGTGCCAGAGAAGAATTGTGAACTGAGGATCTCAGTCTGGGGACTCATCAGGGAGGAGTTGTTCACTCTGTTATCAACAGAAACAGAACTTGCGCTACCTGTACACTCTAGTCCAAAAGAAAAGGAATCTCAACCAGGTTTTGGCAATGTACTAGTCATATGATTTACTTTGTAAACAGTCAGTTCGGGTGACAGATTTGTATTATTAATTGTCTGTCTGTGGGATGAGTTGAGAGAATTTTAATCATTTTGAAAATATGACAAGAGACTGAATGATTTCAAGTCCCAATATTTTTATGTTGCAATAACAGTACAAGTGTCATAGTGTTTGTGGTACAATGGTTTATTCTGCCAAAGTTTTGTATGTTCCTTGATTTTACAGTTACACTGCACTTAGGTCATAAAATATAATATTTTTTAAAAAATCAACCTATTACCTTTATCAAATGTTAATATTAAGTTTAACTTGAAATTATTGTGTTTAATGGATGATGGGTATTTTCATTTATGTAAAACTGCCAGCAGCATCCAAGAAATAAAGACAACATGCATTGGATACAGAAATAAATGTCTTTCTTTTTTATCCTTAGGCTTAGTAGATCACAGTGCTGTGTATTTTTTTTTGTGTGTGTTTACAATCTTGCATGGGCATACCTTTCTCTTATTTTTTGTCATCTATTTGTGTTTTTAAGAATGTTATTAGTTTGTCTTTGATTAGTATATTTGTAGATGCGTAAGATATTTTTCATGTGCCCCTTACTGAGAAGTTTGTGAATCAGATCATGTACTTTCAGAGCGAACTTGCTGACAGTACCAATTCCACAGGAAGGGTGTGCTAGAGCAGCACACCTGTTCATAATCATGTTAGCCTTTCTCACCTGTGTGTCACACCTGCATGATGGTGCATGCTTGGGCCCAGCAGATCACATTGTTCATAGTATACATGGAACTCCATTTAATGTTCCTTGATTTAAGGTTTTCCCCTGTTTAATATTCAATTTCATTGGCTCCAAGTCAGTAGTCTCATGATAAATTAACCTCCATTTGTGATTTTCCTTAGTTTAATGTTCAAATCCAGTGCTCCATAAATAAATGTCACTTGAGGATTTCACTGTAAATACCAGTACCCCCAAAGTTATAAGCCAATCATCAGTGCCATAACAGCAGGGAATTTTTAAGTCCCTTATTTCCACATATTAAGGGTTAATGAAATACAAGGAAGATACTTTCTGGCTGTATATAGTTTGATCAGCATTACAATAATGGGTTTTGTTTTTGAATATGAATAGTAAAGCCTATGAAGTATGAAAAATTGGAAAGAATGCATTTAGGAATATGCCTTGATGTTTCCAAGTTTGTTTTATGTCTCAGCACATCCAAACCTGTACTGTATTAGCCCAAACAAGTCTCCCCCACCTCCCAAAATATTTCTTCTTAGAAAGAGGTGTTGTCTTATTTTCAGGTCCTTGAGAATACGTGTGAAGATGATTATATGTTCTAATTGCTAATCCTAATGATATTTATGAATATACCTAGAGTTAGTTGAAGGTATTAAGTTCTGAATTGATTTTTTCTAAATGTTATAGTTCATACTTCTTTTTGCTTACTACCCTTGGAACTCAATTACATGTTTAATTTTATGGAAAAAGGAAATCTGATTTTCACTCTGGGAAAGTAAGGGATTGCCATATATTAGGGCCAATAAGGTAATTTGTTTACTGTGGCCAGTTTTGGGACCGATATCGGGAGATTATCTGCAGGCTAAGCAAAGTCTCAGGTTTGGCTTTATGTGACATAATTTTCCAACAACCCTCATGAATTACCCAAGATGATAACAGGAATTTTATATTCTCTGACATGTGACTCAACGTTTTTGTAGACTTAACTTTGTACTGCATGTGGCCAAGTTCAAACCAAGCGTCCAGTGTTTCTTGCCTGTGTCTTGTGTCAGGTGTAAGTCAGAAGTTATTGAAACTACTGTCTTATAGAATCATAGTTCTGTACCTTTTACGTTGATGTGATCCAGTAGCCAGATCTGTATCTCCCACAACCAGAGCTGTCCTGTCTGAATTTGACAAGATCCTGAAGATGTCCATTTTGATGATAATGGTTTAGAGGGTTTTTAAATGCTCTGATGACTCAAAATGTAACTCTTAATCATCCATGGCAAAATATTGTTTTAAAACAATTATTTAAATGTTCAATATATGGTATTTGATTTTCCTTTATTGATTCTGTAATAACAGCCACAGAATTATATTGTATGAGGGTTAAAATGTTGAGAAATGGATCTGAGCCTTGAGTTCAGGAATTTAACTTTATATGCTCCATGTGATTATGAAATCGACCTAATTTTTCGATTTCTACTCTTTACCCAGGAGCACATTAAATTTGAGTGTGGGCTACAAATTTATTTTGAATTAGCAACCATCGAGAAAAGCTGGTCTTCCAATTTAGGGACCAAAAAACGAGAACTCGGCAAAAAAAGCGCAATATTTATTATAAATTGTCACAAAAATTCCTCAGATCTTCAGAGATTCTATTGAACAACCGAAACATCCAAAAATGGGTATGGGTTAGGAAGCTGGAAATTAAGAAACAGGCATTTGTAGGGCAGGCTCATTAAAATCGGTAACTGAATATCACAATCAAGTGGGTAAGTCTCCTGCTTCATGTATAAGGAGTACTGGGTTCAGATCTTGAAAGAGATTCGTTGTTTTTTTCAGTCCATCCACGATGATGTTAGGATAGTACCTCCAGTTAACTACCACTTCCTTCCACATTTATTCAAATTCGGTATTTGATAATCGTTATTCAGAGCTAAATCACAAATAAATGTTTATATATATATAATATTTAAATCCCTACTAGAAAAAATGTATGTGCAGATGGGAGAATGATAGAGAAACAGGCGTGAATAAATGAACAGAATTTAATTGGCTAATGACAGGATTCATTGATGGAAAAAGGCTTAGCTTTGAATTCCATAAAATAGGAGATTTCTTGATCAGGTGAGTACTTATGGTGACAAAGAAGACTGTTATCTTGGCCAGCTAAAGATTTGTATTGTACCAGATTTCATAGTTGCATAAAGGAAGATGGACAAGGATGGGGTAAGGACGAAGTCAATGGGGAAAGGAAACGTAATTGAGGGGGTGACATGCAAAGGGGTGTGACAACTTTGAAAATATTAAGATAAGTGCATAATGACAAAATTAAAAGTATGCACAAATTTTGTGACAAAGAGACCACTGTTGAAGTTCAGACAGTGTGGGGCAATACCTCCATTCCCTTGTGTTAATGACATGATATTTAATTAAACACAGGGAGAACTTGGTATTTTTTACGTTTTACAGACTTTTATTAGAATAGTAAATTTGTTTTGTGCCCATCATGTGTATTCTGTATGAAAACCAAACGTAAGCAATTGCTCGGGCAGAGAATGTAGAATGCATGTATACAGGTGTTTTGAACATAGGCCTGAAGGAGAGAGACCACTTGGAAGACCTGAAAGTTGATAGCAGATTGATATTAAGATGGATCTTGAAGTAATGGGATGGGGAGGTCTTGGACTGATTTAAAATTTTACTGAGGATTGTTCTTGTGCGTTTGGGGAACTTGTTTACAAGCTGAGCAACTGTTTGATTCTGAGGAAGAATTCTTGAATATTATTAAAGTTATAAAATAAAAAGGACTATAGCAGGCGTGGGAAACATGTATATACAGAGTTTAAGAGATCACTAGGAAGATCCATTGTTATATAGAAAGATAATATTAAAATGAATCATAGAGAAACAGAATAGGAGGGTGTGGACTGGATCCACCTAGTTTAAAATAGAGGCCAGTGATGAACACATTAATGAACCTTGGAGTGTTATAAGTGCTAACAATTTCTTGACTTGCTGAGCAACAATCATCTTCTCAAGAATAATCCCTTAATGTTATAAAAATAATCACATTAAAGATGATTGTAGGGACAAGTCATGTGACACGGATGGGAGAGGTACATGCATAGTTTCACAGACCACAAGGAAGACCTAGGCTTGGATAGGAATATAATAGTAAAATTAATCTTAAACAAATATGATGGGAGGATTTGAACTGGTTCATGTAGGTCACGATTGGGACTAGAATTTGGGCTTATATGAACACGAAAATGAACCTTCGAATTCCATACATTTAATAACTGAGCATCTATTAGCTTCTAAAGAAGGACTCAGCTCCTTGCTCCCAGACTGGGATAGAGTGATGAACCATAGTGTGGGAGTTAGTGCAAGAAGTTTTCCCTGGACCAAAACACCAAAACACGTGGGTGGATGGGTGGTACATAAGATCGATCGGTGACCATGGCAACTGCCTTGCTGATGTTGGTAGGAGACGCCCCGAACTGTTCTTGCCGTCAGCGCATGGTTAGCGCGGGGGGGGGGCGCTCGAAAAACATCCCCCTTCCCAACCACTCACCCCCGGGTTCCCTGTCTGTCATAAGTGCGTGGTCTCTCACCACGACAACAGTCATATCTGTAAGTTACTCGCTGACCCAAATCCATACGTAATATTGCTATATTCTGCCAAGAAGGGGTCATCTGATTTATTGCTGTAAGTAAATAGAATTGAATGTTAATTTATCATTGTGCTAAAATGCATACTTCTTTCATGATCTCAATATATGTTATTTTATTTTAAATGAACACTTTTAGCTTTTCGTGTATATCCATTGACTATTTTAATAGAATTACCCGGAGAAAGCAATTTAAAAACTTCTACGTCACTTAAAATCGAATAGGCATATCGATGTTGCAACGTTTATCCAACGAGACGAATTGATGAAGTTCTTCTGTAATGAAATCAATTAATATAAATCCGTCAAGTTATACCATATATTCTTAAAATACATGTCCTTATAGACTGCACAGATAGGCTAAAAACAATATAAATAAAAGTAGTTACTATAGGATTCTGACGATGGTGTATAACACACTGATATATTGGGTTTTTGGACTTTATCCATCGTCCTGGTTTTTAAGATAACTAATAAAAATACGACGTTTCGGAAACTGGATCTGTGATTGAGGCTAACTCTTTCTAACGGACCCAACAGAATAGGTTTTTCCTTCACCTGAGGAGGGAAACATATCCAGTTTCCGAAACGTCGTGTTTTTATTAGTTATCTTAAAAACCAGGACGATGGATAAAGTCCAAAAACCCAATATATCAATATAAATAAACATTGACGTGGGTGTATATGTTTACATTATATTTCAATTTTGAAAATAATATTTGTTTCAAAATATACGTGTATGATATTCTTTACTCACGCAAAACTGGTTCCCGTAGAATTACACAAATGAAATTAGGGAAATTTATTTACTGTTTAAAAGTTAGAAGGAAAAGGCCAATAAACCCTATAGATAATATAAAAAACATGATATTCTAATTGTATGAAAAATTATGAGTCGATAGTGGTAAACTGTGAATACAACTGAACTGAAATTTATTCCATTCTTATCTCGGATTACTACGTCCTCATGGCTGGGGGGATCTCTAGCAGCCAAATTTGTTTACGTAAGTTCACATTAGCCGGTCACGGTAGCCGAGCGGTCTAAGGCATGTACTGTCTTCGCTCGCTTGGAAACCGGGATCGTGGGTTCGAATCCCACTCAGGGCATGGATGTTTAGTTTGTGTGTGTGCGTTTTTCTGTGTTTGTATACAGGTAGAGGCCTTACGACTAGCTGATCACCCGCCCAAGGAGTCCTACCGAATGTGTAAGATCTAGAAAAACCGAAGTGAACGGAGAAGGCCTAGGCCCACTGGGGCTGTAGTGCCAAGGGGAAAAAAAGGAGTTCACATTAATGTTATACGTGTGTCAATTAATGACTTATGAGTTTTCATTCTAAATCCTATAATACAGCTTCTGACATCCAAGAATGAGATGATATGTTAAAATACAATTAAAATTGATTATGAAACACGTAATCGCAAAAACATCTTCTATATATTTTGTAACTAATAGCCAATATACACAATTCATGCAAAGATTAAATTTTTATTCAGTAAATAACTTCACATTACTTCATATCCATAAATTCGTCTTACGTAATTAATCGTGCAGGTGGGGGGTGGGGGCATATATGAACACAAATAGAGCTATAAGCCTAATAATGTGTCTTATTTCAAAATAAAGTAGGGATTTAATTACTGAAGGAGTTGTTTATAAATATAACGACTTCATAACACAAGAGCTGAGGCAATTGTATTTTGAAAATGAAATTTGGGTTGTAAAGAAACGCAAAGGAACAGAATATGGAGATTTCTTAGCTCATAGCTGGAGATTATATTACGGTTTTGTCTATTCTGATATCATCCAGTCCAGTATATTATTACCGACGTTTCGGATGAGCATATTGCCTTAATCTTCATGGTAGAAGCGAGCCAAGATTTGGTACCAATGAGACTACGTGCAGCTCAGATCAGCTGCATGCGTTGCCTGAACAACACGATGAAATGATAACTTAGACCAAGCATAAGCACGCCCTGAATTTACGGTTAGTAAGGGGTTCTTAAGCTTTACCTCCCACTGTCGTTTTTAAAGACAAGAATTCTGCGACGTACAATTTTCTCAACACATCCATACTCTCTGTGTGAAAGTTGTTTACAATTCTGTGTATTCTATCCTTACGTGGGAGTTATTGTTAGTAGTTACGCATAAATACACCAGGTGGCAGTGACATTTACCTGTGCTCTTTAGTCGACTTGGCCGAAAATGTATTTTCATTGGTTGGTAGCGTCCTTATTCGCAGAAATCAGGATTTAATTTATAAGAATGGATCATCTGAGGGAGTAAAGCTATCCCTGTAACAGGCCGTGGGGGCCCATAGGGTTGTGAGACGTCGAAGCTCGCACATTTTCTAGACAATCGGCTCACAGATGGCGGTGAGGTTGTCAGCCTTACGCGCCGGCCGCCTTTTACTCCCAGGAAGATTCCTGGTACTCATTTCTGTTAGAGGCTGAGTCGAACCCAGGGCCATAGTGCGGCTGGAAGGATTGGGTCAATTGAAAAACCGAATGACCTCATCAGGAATCGGACCCGCGACCTCCCGGCGTGTATGTGGAAACTGTAGCCAGAGCTGGGAACTGTTTGCTTAAAAGCGTCGTACAGGATAATGTGAGGAGCCGAGGGTTAGTTCGACGGGAGATCACCAAATTTGCATGAGGAAACCTGAGCGGTTGGTGATAATGTCGCAATTATAGCTGTTAATGAAGTTCACAGTGTGTGCGGCGGTGTTTATTTTGTATCTGAGGGTCAAACCATTCAAGCAGCAACAAGCCTGAAGGTCGCGGGTTCAAGGTCCGATGAGATCATTGGATTTTTCAATTAACCTAATCCTTCCGGCCGCACTATGGCCCTGGGGTCGACTCAGCCTCTAACAGAAATGGGTACCAGGAATTAATTAAATAATTTTCCTGGGGAGTAGAGCGCGGCCGGCCCGTAAGGCTGACAACCTTACCGCCATCTTTGAGCCGATTGTCTAGATAATGTGGGACCTTCAATGTCTCACAACCCTATGGGCCTGCATGGCCTGGTATAGAGGTAGCTTTACTTTTTTTTTCTGTTATGACTGATCGAGTTGTTACGGGATGAAATAAACGGATGTCTCTTGTCTAGTGGCGAGGCGGGCAGCGGCCGTTATAAACTTCTGTTACCGGTTGAAGTGAAATAGACTTGAGCATTTTTTCCAAGTTTCTTTTAATAGATAATATCTGCCCAAAATATTGTCACGTATCGGTGGTTACCGTGACGAATAACAATGGGTTCTGGATTTGATGATTTGATTTATTGGCATTTCTTTACAATTATAATCAGTTATTACAGCTCACACTCAATCTTGACCGCAGAGGACCCTCTTCGTTCTTCTTCTCGTTCTGCGACTGGCTACAGACGATCTTCGTTGTCCCCTATAAACCTTCGGCACGGACCACGCACAGAAAACACATTGAGAACACCGTATTGTAGCAATTCCTCTATTGTTTTAGAAGTGTGTTTACGTTGTCGTTGCAAAGAGACGGCTGTTGTTCTATTGTTGCTGTGTATTCGTTGCCACGAGAATATATTTAGTGACCCGTTGCCTAGCAATGGATATACACGATGCAATACTTCCTCTAGATAGCAGCATCACTTACTGCATGTTGTTATTATATCAAGTTTGATGCCTTAGAATAAATATAGCTTTAGAATGTTCCAAGTTATTGAGGTTAAGTGCTTTGATGAAGTTTGTTATTAACATTTTCCCGTTGAAATTTCAACGGGATTTATACTAGTTCGGACCATGAAAACAGTTGAGTTAAGCCCCTGACTATATGAAACTTGTGCATATGCATCTGCGAATCAGCTGGCCTTCCTATGAGAGGGTATTTTCCCTTCTGTTGTCCTGCCAGATGAAGACTTAAGGAGCACTTCGCTGCAGCTGACTGACTCACACCCCTTCAGCCCTTCCTGCACTACCCATGGACCCCGTGGGCTCAATGGCCGAAGTTTGCACAGTCTGTGTTTTGTTGCAAGAGACAGCCCTGCCACCTGGGCGAGAGTGAGGGCTACGTGTAGGAGAGAGAAAGGAAATAAGAAATGTAATAGACGCAAAAAGAAGGAAGATAAGTAAATAAAAATACAGGGATATAAAGAAGAAGGAAGTAAAAAAGAGGCAACAAAAATGAGAAGCGAGAGAAGGAGAGGTAAAGGCAAGAAAAAGACAAAATCGTAAAAGAGAAAAAGTAAATAAAGAAAAATGAAACAATGAAGATGGGACGAGAGAATGAATCAATATGTTGAAGAAGAGAAAAAATAAATATAAAAGCGTACAAGATAAAGAAATTAATAAAAAATGCATGGATATAAAAATAAACTAGAAAGATACAAAGAAATAGAAACAATACAAGACGAAAGAAGAGGAGATATGTGGGAATGGAGAAATACGGACGTAAAGAAGAAAACATACAGGAATAAAAATGAGAAATATAAAGAAAAATATGGTATACTAAAGCAGAAAATAAGTGAAGGAGGGAAGAAAGACAGACACACTGTCATACCCCAGAAGACAGCAACCTGCACAACACTGCCCAGTCGGGTTGGGGCTCACACTGGCAGCCTCATGTCAAGCTTCCCTAAGCCGAGCGCTTGTGCCAGGAGCGACCGTGTATTGAAATCTGTGATCTCCATAAGTCCGCTTAACCCACGAAGTGAGAGCCCTTCCAGTTCCCACAGACAGGACTCAATTAACACATTTGCCATTCAGTTGGGCCGATTGTAGTGGCCGCGCGGTGTAAGGGCGGCCGCACACCAACTGCGTCAAGACAAAGTTCAAGACATGAGACAAAAGACGCAGTCTTGTTTCATTCATATTTCGTCAGCATGAAGCTGACGTCAGCATCATGATTCAGACTGGTGTGTGGCGGTTTCATAATCTCATTCGTTTCAACTGTGCTCCTTTCTTTCATCATGTCGCAGACATCGTGTCTTGACTGTTACATGTCTTGACGCATGCCGGTGTGCGCCCTACCTAAGGTATCAACTGTCTTTACCCGCTCAAACACTGGGAGCGTG